GCGAGATGGATGTTTTATAATGAAATTTTTATGGGAAGTTGATGTGAAGATTAAAACTTCCTCATGATTGCAATCTCATGCTGAAAATATATGTATATTTTGTGTTGTATTAGAAATGTTTTGAATGTATATCATTATATTGAATATCTGATCAAATATGGCAGAGTAATAGAAAATGAAGCAGAGAATGGTTAAAACCCTAAGAGTATAATTCACTTTCAATTGAATCTTTACACTCACTAATCTCTTTCACAAATTTTTCAGAGAAAAATCATTGGGTTTGTATTCTACCGCTCAGTTTAAAACGACCTTAGGTCTAAAATCACAAGTTAAACAGGTCAACGTAGACCTCAGATCAACTTCCTACGTTTTACTTGATTTCCAGCCTTGGGTTTAATTTAGTTGAATACAACCAATGGCTACAGGGAGCTAAAGGGGCATTAATGCCAACATTATTGCCCTTCTTACTCTCATGAATACTTTGAATAGATATATAAGATGTCCACAAATGATTATTATGCATCTCCAAGATCTCGTCAGTCCTGGTTACAAGAAATAAATTACGAAATGTAGACTGAAGGAATTGATACAATACTAAAATAAGAATAGAATGCTGTAGGACTTTGTCGTGTTAAATTAGCACTTTTCTAACAGATAATATTGATTGGTTATTGGGAGTAATTAATAAAGTCAGCTTTAAGTAGCAAGGATGTGGATGGCTTCAGTCTTAGAACATGCTGCCACCTGGGAGTAAGAAAATGCCTTTTTGTTGATCAAAAGCACGGTTTGTAGAAATGGAGGAATTATTGGACGGTGTCGTCTGCTGAGAGCCACACCCCTCTGGTTCTCATCAGATAGTATAATGATCTGTCATAAAGCTCCCTGGTATACCAATATGGCTTTGTAAGCACATACTGACATAGCATATTTAGACATTTGAAAATGTGTTTTCTAATCATGACAGTTGCAATTTATATGTGCCTGGATGATCACAAACACTTAATCACACTAGATTTGGAGAATATTATGCAATCGATTTAACCCCAAATCTACTCTGCATCCATTGTAAAATGCTAACAATATACACAACTTTGTAATCAAAAGTGCTGGTTTTTTAAATTGCAGAAATTATATATCATTTTATGTAAAAATGTTGGAAAGAAATCGCAATTTCTTAAACAACCAATACCAGATTGTGTATAGTTTGCGTCATTCTTTGCTATTTTTTCTTCTATGAAATGAGAAAAGAGAAGAGGGGTATCAATGAAGGAAAGAGGAATAAAGTACATGAAGAGAGAGAGAGAGAGAGAGAGAGAGAGAGAGAGAGAGAGAGAGAGAGAGAGAGGAGAGAGAGAGAGGGGGAGAAAGAGGGAGAGAGAGAGAGGGGGAGAAAGAGAGAGATGTACAGTAGATGGATATCAAGAAGAAAAGAGAATGTGAGAGGCAGAAATGAGAGAGAGAGGGGGAGGGGGATGGGAACAGAAAAAGAGAAAGAGGATTAGATGGAGAGGAGAAAGCTTAGAATTAAAAAGTAGGGAATGTGATAGGGGGAGGAGAGAGAGAGAGTTGGGGGGGGGGGAGTTTTAGGGAGAGAGGGAAGCGGGGTGTTGAAGGGTTTGCTCCATGGGACATTTTAGACGCTGAGAAATATAAACCCTAAATCAGGGGAGGGGTGCATGGCCATGATGGAAACAAAATCCAAAGTGTTATGTTGGAAGATCAATCAAGATAGAGCAATTAATTGCAGATAATTCTCTTGAATGAAAATTGTGGCCACTTTGGTGTCATTAGCATAGAAATGTTGAAATCCATAATATATACTGGGCACGTAATTCATTCACTAAGTCAGGCGCGGATCCAGGATTTCTTAGGAGGGGGCCCAAATTTGAAAGTATGCGAGCCAAATATTGGTACGTAATGATGACCAGCAGTGGCGTAAAACGTTTGGGGGGGGGGGGAGGGAGACAACAAATCTGCATCGCCCAACTCTCGTATGCAGGCCCCGCTGATAAAAGACAGATGAGCATATTTTGGTACCTTATTCAGGACACTGGCAGGTCACTAATTGGTGTGGGTTTAAGGAGGCTGAGCCCCCTGAAACCCAGGGATTTAAAGCATTTTATAACAATCAGGATAAGCATTCAGGGGCCCGCCCTAGGCCCCCTATCGGGGGCGAGGGGGCAGAGCCCCCGGAAGCTCAAGGGTTTTAGGCATTTAATCAAGGTCAGATGAGCATATTTTAATACCTCATTTGTGACACTAGCAGGTCACTAATTGGCGTAGGGTTGAGAGGCGGAGCCCCCAGAAGCTCAGTGGTTTTAGGCAATAAATTAAGGTCAGATGAGCATCGAGAGACTCGCCTTAGAGTCATTGGTTGGGTCCAGGGGGCAGAGCCCCCAGAGCTGAGGGGTTTTAGGCATTTAATTACGGTTAGATGAGCATATTTAGATACTTTATTTGTGACACTGGCAGAACATTAATTGGCGTGGGGTTCAGGGGGAAGAACCCTCAGAAGCTCAGGGGTTTTAGGCAGTTTATAACGGTCAGATGAACATATTTTGATACTATATTTGTGACACTAGCTGGCAGGTCACTTATTGGCGTGGGGTCCAGGGGCGGAGCCCCCAGAAGCTCAGTGGTTTTAGGCAATAAATTAAGGTCAGATGAGCATCGAGAGACTCGCCTTAGAGTCATTGGTTGGGTCCAGGGGGCAGAGCCCCCAGAGCTGAGGGGTTTTAGGCATTTAATTACGGTTAGATGAGCATATTTAGATACTTTATTTGTGACACTGGCAGAACATTAATTGGCGTGGGGTTCAGGGGGAAGAACCCTCAGAAGCTCAGGGGTTTTAGGCAGTTTATAACGGTCAGATGAACATATTTTGATACTATATTTGTGACACTAGCTGGCAGGTCACTTATTGGCGTGGGGTCCAGGGGCGGGGCCCCCGGAAGCTCAGGGGTTTTAGGCACTGAATCAAGGTCTGATGAACATATTTTGGTACCATATTTGTGACACTAGCTGGCTGGGCCCCCGGAAGCTCAAGGGTTTTAGGCATTAAATTACGGTCAGATGAATATCTAGGGCCTGCCTTATGGCACTTTGTTTGGTCCAGTGGGCAGAGCCCCCTGGAAGCCTAGGGGTCTTAGGCGTTAAATTACTGTCAGATAATCATTTTCCTGATACCTTATTAGTGACATTGGCAGGACACTAATTTGTATGGGGTCCAGGGGGCGGAGCCTCCAGAAAATCAGGGTTTAGGCATTACATTACCATCAGAATAGCATCCAGGGGCCCGCCTTAGGGCCTTAGGTGGAATCCACGGGGCAGAGCTCCCGGAAGTTCAGGGTTTTGGGCATTTAATCACGCTCAGATGAGCATATTTTGATAACTCATTATTTTGTGACAAAGGCAGGTGACTATTCTTTATTTCTTTCTATTTCTCTTTAATATACTTTTTCAAAAAAGTGGGGGGGGGGGGGGGTTGAGGCCATCGAGCCCCGCCGTTCCGCGGGCCCTGACATGTAGGTCTCTAAATAAGCATATTTCTTGCCCGACTGTAAATTTAGGAATTTGTCATTTTCCAACAAATGCATGAAAAAATATAATTTACTAAAAAGTGGGGAAAATCTCGTAAAATTATGACATTTCAGCAAAATTTGTAAATCACCGTATCGAATTAGAAATAAACCAAATTTTAACTTTATTTGGGGGGGGGCAACCCTTACCCCCCTCCCCCCCCCCCCCCCCCCCCATCAGTACGCCAGTGGCCACCCTCCCCGATCTACACCTTGTTGGCGGGAAAATCGAAACTGATCTCCCCTACCTTCTTTCCCTTTCTCTCCTCTTTCCTTTTCCTTCCTTCTCTCTCTTTTAGGTTTGCTGGGGAGGCGGGGCCTTTTGGCCGCTCCCCCCCCCCCCCGATCCGCACGTTGTAGGCGAGATTAAGGATAAACTTGAGTTCTGGTAAAAAAAAAAGTAAATGAATTCTCGCAGAATCTAACGAAACTTACACTGAATGTTCAAGATTACAAGTAAATGTCATGTGCCAAATTATTTTGGAAGAAAATGTATACTGGCTGAGTAATGAGCATAGAAAGATAAGGAAATCAGGGTAGTACTAGCCCCAACACCATGTGTGTTGTCCCATATATACATCTTTCTGTGTAAGTGATTGTTACTTTACCAAGACTTTGCCAAATTTATGAGGATTTTGATCCTTGCATTACACACCATTACTTACATGCTATATGATCAACTTTTCTGATCCATTCCACACCTTTTCTTTCACAATGCAATCGCATTACCGGAACTCAAGTTTATCTTTAATCGCAAAAAGGGCATGATCTCCCCTTCTTTTCACCCTTTTTTTCCTTCTTCTTCCTCTTTTGTGTTCCCTTTTAGCTTTCCTCGTTCCCTTTCCCTTCATTCTCTCTTTTTTGTTGGCAGGGGCGGGGGGAGGCAAGGGCATTTTGCCCCCCCCCCCCCGATCCTCAACTTGTTGGCGGGAATTTTGCAACTGATAGCACCTTCTTTTCTTTTCTTCTTCCTCTTTTCTCTCTTATTTTTTGAGAGAGGCGGTCGGGAGGCAACAGCCTGCCCTTTCGGCCCCTCCGATCTCCTTTTCCCCCCTTTTCTTTCCTTATTCCTCTCCTCTCTTACCCTATCTCTCCTCTTTCCCTTCTTTCCACCCTCTCTCTGGTTCCTCTTTTTTTTTCGGGGGGGGGGGGGGGGCAAGACTGGCCACTCGCCCCCCCCCCCCCCCCCCCCCCCGGTTCCGCGTATTCACTGATTATATCCCATAACAATCCTGCACAGATTTACCACTACACATTATCATTATCTTCAAAATGTTATTCAATTATCTAATTTTGTTGTTGGTTTTGTTCCCTTCGGAGAGAACGACACAAACAATGTGACGTCACAATTTATCGCACGTGGACGGGTACGGACGTCTGGCCTGGCTGGCTGTTTGTTTACAAGTAACTTTCTCACGCGCAAACAGCAGCACCCGGTCTTTCTGGATTTGCCAGCACCTGGAATTCCGGACCAAACTCCCCGAAAGGGGTTCCATTCTGGTCATGGCTTTGCTCGATTCCAAATTCCAGCCCTGGGCTAAAGTTAGGGAACACCTTGAGCATGTTTTAAGAACGACAGATCCCGAAGAGCACTGTGTTATGGTTCCCTATGGCCTCCAGGTGCGTATGGTCTTTTTTTTATATTCTAGATCTACTCGTAACACCGCAGGTCGCTTGCAAGGCTCGCCTCAGCTGCCCCGGTGGTGATCTGTGAAGTACCGCTGAGCTGAGATGATGGATGTGGGGGACCGCGAATCTGGCTAGCAAACTTCAAGTTTAAGCAAACTTACATATTTGTTTCATTCGAAATTTATCCATATCTTGATAATGATATTAATTGTTATAATATTTAGACAATAGAACTTAACAATATTACATTTAGACCTAGATCTAGATCTACAGCTACATTTCTGTTTTTAGACCCTAGAGGCTAGACTAGAGTTAGACCTAGACCTAGACCCTGATAATTGTCGATAAGGAGAAGGAGGGGGAGGAAAACAGAAGAAGAAGAAGAAGATGAAGAAGAAGAAGAAGTAGAACTAGAAGGAGGAGAAGAAGAAGAAGAAGAAGAAGAAGGAAGGAAGGAAGGAGAGAAAAAAATAAAGGGGAAGGAGAAAAAAAAAGAAGAGGAGCAGGATTCTATAGTATAGACTCTAGTTGAAAAATGTGATATTCCTTGAAATAATTTCCAGCTTTATTTATAAGTAAAACCAAATGAAGGAATATGTCTAATTTATTGCGTAACATACAACAAATCATTTGCAAACAATGAAGGATACGCCAATGGCAGCACACACTTGTAGTTGTATATTCAGAATATACATGTAGCTCCACATATTGACTAGATTTACAATTAACCTTATCAAGTTTGTTTTGCTGTTTTATAGCTGGCCCATACCTTTCATCACCCTCACGTGATCCGATGTATGACGTTCTACCATAGCACCAACAGCAACATATACGTAACTCAACTAGACATCGGTGTTATCAACAAAGTCTACTTTTGGTCTCTTAGCACTTTGCCTGATGAGGAGGTCAAATGTCAAAGGTCAGTTTTTATAATTTGATTGTACCTAGCATCTGAAAACTAGATTTTAAATTATGAAGTTTACAAGAGCAGGTATGGTCCCATGTACCAATTTTAAACAATTGAAAGTAATCTCTAATTGCACGGCCAAACACAAAGATTTCATTTAGAAAGTCTAGATGTAACTCAATGTTATTACTTTCTTCCAATATTACAGGATCGAGATAAACACACAGATGTCTACGATTATATTTGTACCACAGCACAGGGTAAGGAGGAGTTCTGAAACTTCATAACCTCAATCACTTGAACATTTAAAGGGGAAGTCCACTGATATTAAGTTGGTTTTGATAGAAGCAGAAAAATGAGAGAAAATCATGAGTGAAAGTTTGAGCAGATTCAGATTAAAAATAAGAAAGTTATGCATTTTTGAAGTTGTGATCAATCAAACACAAATTGGCAACACTGTGACGTATCTTGCGAGCTTCTTTCCAATTTGCTCTGTTCCTTAAATTTCATAAACTTTCATTTTCTTTGTTATTGATGACAGAATAGATTTTTTTTCCATACAGGGGTTGTATAGCTGCATATTTGGAATTATTATAAATAATTAGGATGCCTGTAGGATTACAAACTTTCTTGAGGGAAATCTTTTCAGCAAATGAAGGGAGCTCACAAGATAAAAATCAACTTAATCACGGTGAACGTCCCCTTTTAAACCGAAATTACATTATTAAAAGAGTCATACCAACTCTTATGGACTTTATTTTTATTACTTGTAATGATTTGAGATGGAACACTTGTAAATACCTTATGGTATTCTTCGTCGATATGATCTCTCCTGTAGCCTAGGTTTTAATTTTCTTCAAGTATCATCAACTTCTCTGAAGTCATTGAAATACATTAGATGTTATGGTAATTTATTAATTTCCATAACCTTTGCCAAGAATTCATTCTACCTGTAAATAGAAAACCAAAGAAAACAGGGAATGTATAAAAAGAGACCACACGCTATTGATGCAAGAAATTTTTAAAAAATGATGTTTTTTATTGTAATCTCTTCTCTTTCAGGTCTTTGTTGGTTATTCTCCCAATGTGACTCTTCATGTGTTAAGTGATCTTAACAATAAGTGCATGGAGCTCACACAGGTACACTGCTCAGAAACTATCGTGTGGTAAGTAGACGTTGTCTTTCGCATTATGATGTTGGAGATTTCAGGAGAGAAAGGTTGCTGCTTTTTGTGTTTTCAACGTCTTTATGCTAATGTGTGTTTTTTTCTTCTTCTAATTGTATAGTATGAGGCTAACTATCATTGTCTTCTTGCCCAAAATTAATCTATATTTTCCACTTTGCACCCTGGAGAACAAAGCCATTGTAATCTTGATTTCCCAATGCTGTTAGAGTAAATATTTTGAGGAATACTTCCCAGGAAGCAAGGACGGTGCCAACATTGTGTGCATGAATGAAACCAGGGGGGAATGGTTAACTCTTCACTTGTTTATGTTATACAGTACTTTATAAATCCCTATTTTATTCTGTTTGTATTTTTCAGCATGGTCTACAATGAAGACTTTGATGAGCTTGTCACTGGTGGCCATGGGTTCCTTCAAGCTTGGAGCATGACCAATGTGGAGGTTTGTTTACTAAGGTTATGATCTTCTATCAGGATAAAATGCATTTCAGTTTTGAGAGCTAATTTTAGTTCAGGGAACCTTAAACAAATTTTCAGCAATACCAGTTTTGAGGCCCGTCATCTCTTTTTCATGTTCATGCTCAAAATTGTGTACAATTATCGACCTACTCAGGCTCATACGGTAGAAAACATTGGTAGAAACTACTATGTGAATCGAATATTGATATATCCTATTATCTTTCAGGTATAGTTTGTAGGCTACTGTCTGCAATTCCATGTTCATCAACCAAATAAGGTCCCTTGTAAGATATTAATGAACAATATAACATTAATTTGAAATGCTCTAAACAAAGTGAAACTAATATACTCCTTTGTTTAATGGATGTTTAATGGTATACAGAAACGTGATCCTCTTGTTCGAGGTCGTCCAATCGAAATTGAGATTACAGATGAAGACTGGGTTCGAGATGTCCGTGTTGATCGCAAACGTCGTCAGCTGTGTGCTCTCTGTGATGAGGGTATTCACATCATCAATTACATCACAAACACGGAGGTTTACTGTATCAAGAACTGGCATGCTTCTGCTCTTTCTAGGTAAACACTCAGTTTTATGCATCATTATTTAATGATATGTGTACAACAAAAACAAAACATTCAGCCCTGTACATGTATGTATGGCCAGGGTTCCTTACAGTGGTATACTATATTCAACATATCATCTTCAAATATTACTTCTGAGAAGAAATGTCTTAATGCAATACAAGTGTACATACTGACATTGTACCCATACTAAACATACAGGTGAGAATAATAACTGTTTCTTATAAAGGTGACTAGTTTCAATAGCGTCTGTGTACGAGTGCCTTTAACTTGTACACACATGCTAATCCAATCACTTTTGCATTTGCATCCTACTGGATACCCATTCATCACCTGGGTGGAGAGGAGCAATGTACATAAAATGCCTTCCTCAAGGACATACAATGTAAGTGCAGTGCTGGGGATCGAACCCAGGATTTGTGCATTCCCAGTCGATTGATGAAACCACTCAACTGCAACACGTCTACTAGTATCCAACTAAATTATGTTTTCTCTGTATGTTCTTCACTCGTCTACCATTTATATGTCTTGTTTAGTTTGGGGGATGGTTGATATGTCTCCTACCATACAAAGATAACGGTGCTCACCTGTGCACAAATCATTGTATGTCACATGATTGAAATTCAACTAATGAGATTTTAAGTGCTTACCAATACATTCTTTGTATCACAAAATGTCCGTCATACATGTACAGATACATGTACAAATAAGTGATATGACAAATGTGACAATTAAGTGATCCGAAAGTTGGAAGACCTGTGTATGGATAAATGATGATTGGTGAATCTACATGTAGATGATTGTTACGATTGGGCAGTTTCACTTTCATTTAATTTCTGCTCATTGACAATTGCAGGTATAGGTTTACTTTCAATGAAATTTGTCACGCTTTCTCAAGTTTAAATTGTGAGGGAGCAATAATTATTAATACTGTACTTAATCTCTCTAAACTGCACACATACAACCAGCTATAAGCAAACAGTAACCCATGAGTTGTCTTGAATTAAATTGTTATAAAAATGTAATGTACATGAACATGTACCTCCTGCTTTAGGAAATGTTTAATTACTTTATAACAAGAAATACAACATTGTATGTGAAAGCAATCAGTTGTTGGGAATCCCATGCCCCCTATTTTAATGTGTGTTTTGTATTTCTGTTTTAGTTTTGTTTTCTACCACAAGCTTGAGTACTGCATCACAGCCTCTATGGACGGGGCTATCAAGGTTTGGAACGCTGTAGTCTTCAAGGAAGTTCATCAATTCATCGGGCACTATGACAGTGTTACCGGTCAGTAAACTCCCAATGATTGGAAAATATTGTATTTGAATATTTAATCACTTCTCAGTAACTTACTGAATTGTAATTCCCTAAGGCTTTATACAGGGACTACCATAGGCAATGTTTTTTTTGTTTAAGTTTTAAAGGCAAATTTTTAAAACTTCAAAGAAAATTGTCAATGCATGTTGACCAAAACACCCTTGATCTTCAACAGGGTGTGTAGGACAGAGTACCACATATTTGCTTCTTCCTAGTTAGTTTCCACCCTCCTCCTTGTATCATATCTCAGTCTTTAGTTCTGTCCCATCCTTCTGATGAGGTATCCATTGTCTCTTGGATTTAGTTGACCTCCAGTGACATGTAAAGACATTAGGAGGTGCATGGCATGAGGTAAAGAAAGTATGTTGATATCTTAAAGTGTGACTGCACTATTTGTAGCTACTTGCACCCTCTATATATGCCTAAACGGTACCTGTTGGTCCTCCATGATCCCCTTTTTTATCATGTTAAGTGAGAGCTGATTTGATGAGATAACCACCTGTCAGTGACCTTGCAGGGAGGTCTAATCCCTCCAGGCCAAACTAGTGCAGACAGGCTTTAAAGGAAAAAATACAAACTTATGCTTTGATGATGAAAATAGTGATAGATATACAGTAAAAATTTATGTATACGCTGTAAAACTGTACTGATACAATACACAGAGTGAATGAATAATGGGTATTTATTGTTACTCTGCCAGGTCTTGTTATCCATCCAGCTGACCCTCTCCTCATATCAAGCTCTACAGATGGAACAGTAAGGATCTGGAGACTTGATACCTTTGAATTGGTTAGTATTGATTGTATATGTTGGTCTGCGGAGCAAATCGCTTGAGTGAAAGCTAGAAGGGCCTAAATACTGTTATTAAAGGGCATTGCAGGGAAAATCTCAACACTTGTACTAGGGCCAAAATGTAAACAATCATTATTGAAAACTTTCCTAATAGTATGGTGGCAATTAAAGTATTAATAATTAGAAAAATCATAGTCATTTTTCATTTTCAAATTTGTATTTTGCAACTGGCAGAGTTTTATTCATCCAAATTGTTGTGTACAATGATCTGGAGTTATTCAGTGTGCACAATGTGCTCCATCTCTACTCCTTGGGGAGTATTCCTGCCATATGGTCACTGTGAGGGTATGTGGCAATTACTAACACAGAGGCTTTTGTCAACTTACCAGGTCCCCATTTATCTCCTTGGTATGGAGTGGCAAACATAAATTAAGGCCTTGTCAAAAGACATTCAACTAAACATAATTGATACTATTGTTTGATGTATGTTCATGTACAGACTCAGAGACTGAATGTAGGAGAGAAGGTGTTAGGAATGAAGCTAGCTAACTCCAATCAACTTTACTACTACACATTGCATGATATCAAAGTCTGGAACTTCAATTTGGTTAGTATCAGTAGGTTTTTAAAGCTTAAAAAAAAATTAAACAAAAATCTCTTCCATAATGATTTCCAAATCATCAAAGCTTTATTTTTAGTGTTTTCTTGGTTTGTAAGTGATTAAATAGATCTATCCCAATTTCACAGGATTGCAGTGAAGGGTAGGATAAGTAATAAATGTACAAGATAAATACTGAAGATGCAATGGCTAGGGTAGCAATGAACTTGTTGTGTAATAGCAACCCTTGTTTCTAAATCCATTGGGATGGATGAAATAAGCTTTCCTGGAAGTTTGGAAGCACATGAACTTTAAATAAAAAACAATCCAAAACAGTGTTAGGTGTAGAATAGGTTGAAAATATTATTTGAAATTTTAAAAGAACAATGATTTGAATCAAATTATGAAAACCTCTTCTCTCCCACATGAATTTAATCTGTGCATCTCATTTATGCTTCCATGAGAATATTTGGTAAGAAATCCATACATTATATGATTATGGTCTATGGTTATTCTTTGATATAGTTTCATCATCTGTTCACACCGGTGAGGTCTTGTGTTCACAAGCTGGCTAGGATCAGCAACCCTTCTTCATCTTCTAGGGTACTATGTGCAGCTGAGGTGAGTCAAAGGTCAACGGTCATGCTCAATCATTAAACCTTGACTTTAAAGGCCCACTGTACTACTTGTAGCTACTTGCTCCCTCTATATAGAAAACAATGCCTAATCGGTGACCATTGGTCCCCCATGATCCTCTTTTTCTTATGTTAATTGAGAGCTGAGTTGATGAGATAGCCACCTGTTAGTGACCTTCCTGGGTGGTCTAATCCCTCTTAGCCAAACTAGTACAGACGGCCTTTAAGTGAACATCCTTGTTTGAAATGGACCCATTTCTTCATTTACAACTAAGAAAGGGGATATTCTTATACTTCCAAGTATAAAGAGATGGAGGGCTGATTGGAAGGGAAAGTATGGAGGTGCTAATTCATATTTGAGTGATTTCAAACTCCATATTATTCTGATCCTGTATTATATCTTCCTTAGATTATCATTATTATATTTATGTGGGCCCTGTTGCGCAAAGCTTACTATTGATGGTAACTTTGCCATCAATGGTAACTACCATGGAATCCTTGATTTTGATTGGCTGTTGAGCCCTGTTACCATAGTAGTTGCCATTGATGGCAAATTTACCACCATTGGTAAGTTTTAAGTTTTATGCAACGAGGCCCTGATTTTTTGCTTGTTGTAAGAATAATATGATATCTTTGTTAACTTACCCTTTAACTGTACATGTTTTTGTGATGCATTAACAGGATGGAGGTGTTCGCTTAATATCCGCTGTATCAGGGACTGAGCTTACCATCATATACCCTATGCCGTCTTTTCAGGTGAGTTTGTAGGAAACTTGTATTATACTTTTCTTTGAACGTAAACGTATTTTATCGTGAGGGAGATCAGATGTGAATATATAACCTTGTGTTCCTATGTTTTCTGAAATTAATCCTGAAGGCATACCTTCAATATATCAATAGATGTGATATATAATGCAAGATACTAGATTGGTATCAGTGATGTAACCAGTCTTCACAGTAGTTGCATTGGATACAATCTTGACTACTGATTTAAAGATTTGTATTAACAAGTATAAGATGCTGCAGTTTTTTGTCTCTGTTATGAGAGATGCAGCCTTGATGAGATAAGGTCAAAATAGACTTACAAGCATGCTGGGCATATATTATAACTAATTTTGTGCGTCTGATGTTGCTAAACCATTTTACATTCAGTGCACGACACACAGTATGAAATCCTTTTCTTTCATGTTCTGCAGTCTATAACAGAATTCATGACTGAGGTAATTCTTCAATCTGTAAGCTTCTTGTTGATATCTATTTGATGTTGTTTTCTGCAGGTGCTAACAGATATTGTATATGACCCCAAGAATTCACTGATCTTCACTGTTCTTGAGATGGGAGATGTGTTGATCTTTGACAGTTCTACCAACCCATGTCAGGCTAAAGAACTCCTGGTACCAATGATGCCTGAGGAGTCTGTGGTATCCCTTGCTTTAGTCAAACTGGTAAGACAATCTCAGAGGGGCTTCAAAGTTTTTTTTTATTTAATTTTTAAAAAATTTTAGTGGTGGTTATTTTACCTGTCTGCTAAGAAAGCATAACATGCTCGTTATTATGCAACCAGAGGACCGGCAGATTTAGGTCCTCTCCAAGGGACCTGGTAATGAGGATTAATGCCTTACCAAAAGGCACTAGCGCATCAACTTTGCTTCGAACCCGGGTCGCTGGATTATGAGAACACTACTCTACCAACTGAGCTATCGCGCCTCCCCTGGTCATGGTCTACTCAATAACGACCTCATGGAATATGCTTGGGTCTGGAAGAAACTCTGGTGGAAGTAGTCTAATAAGATAAGTGTGAAATGGATGAGTCATGTGTTGAGAAGGGGAGATGATGAACCTGTAATGAGTGCGTGGAATATGGAAGTGCATGGCATAAGTGGGAAAGGAAGACCAAAGATTACATGAAAAGATATGGTGAAGAAAGAAATATGTAAGGTTGTTTTTAAATGAGGAGGATGCTCAAGACAAGAAATGGAGAGAGGGAGTTTTATCATGACATGAAAGTCAGAAAACCCTTGTAAGAGGGAAAATGCTGACTAAAATAAATGATGGTGATGATTTATTTATTTATTTATTTCAATTTTTTTGTCAGGGTAGCCCATCCACCAATAAGTAGTGGTCTTCCATGGGGTCCTGAATAATCATGAACATGTTTACATCAAAAAGCATAACGTTTATACAGAACAGTTAAAATAAAATTCCGTAGTACATTTAGAAAGATATAACACAGCAATAAAAGACATGGCACAAACAAATACTCGTTTGCAAAATAATGATATATCATATATCATATGATGATGATGATGACGATCTCTGTCACCGTACTAAATGTCTTTTGTCAAGACATTAATCTACAATTTGCCTGCCCTTCCAACTCTCAACAGACAATTTAACACTCTTGATTCAGGAGAATTAAAAGGGTACCTAGTAGTACCTAGAAATTCCCTCTTATGATGGCAGGGCTAAAACCAGGGGGATATTACTTGTATGCCTCTCATTTCGATGTGTATTATGGTGCAATGTATGTGTACCGGTAAGTGCATTTTGATGACTTACTTGCATAATAACAATTGTCATTTTTATCATCCCATTAAAAAGCAGAGTTTTTCTTCAAATAAGTTCCCAGTGGGATATCACATATTATAGAATATTTTGTAGGGAACTTTGGTGTTTTTTTTTTGTCCACCCCTACATGTGCCTTTTGAAAACTTGATACATCTTATTTGGTGTTTTTGTCTAGGATTGTGCCAATGGACGTGAGGAGACTCCATCCAGTGATTATCTGATCTTTGCTGGTCTAGCTAGCGGTCAGATCTCACTGATGCAATCCCAGGCTCACTGTATGAGGTACCCACTACAGGCACACGGTGGAGCTGTGCTGGCGCTGGAGTGTTCCCACGGAGACTATGGGCCTGAGGTGGACAACTATGTAGCCAGTGGAGACAGGCTGATTTCATGCGGCTCAGACAGGGTGAGATAAAAGACCTTTTCCAGCTTTTTATCTATCTATCTAAGTATCTTTTCCTGGTTTGGAGGTTGATTGCAATATCTCTCCATTTCACTCTATCTTCTGCCATTCTGGTGCACTCTTGCAGTTTTAGTCCACTCCAGTTCTTGACATTCTCTTCCCAGTTGATTCTGGGTCTCCTTCTCGGTCTAGTTCTAGTCTAGTTTCAGCTTTATTCACAGTCAAACATGTCTGTAATGGGTACGAAATAGAAACAGAAAAATTCTACTGTGGACAATTTGCCTTTCTTGAATGGGTCTATAACACCTTTTAGTTTCATTAGGGAAAGGTTGTTATGATGACAGCTACATGTATAAAGAAGTGTCTTCATAGAAAGGTGCCCACTCATACAGGTTTGACCAGGGGGGTGTTTCACAAAGATCCTAAGTAGAACTTAACACTAAGTTTGACTTAAAAATTATGGACAGCCATTGGAGCCTTAAAATGAAATATACTCAAAAGCAGAAATTCAAGTATTTTAAACATTTTATAAATTCCACAACAAGAATATGAAATCTCCTTAATGATAGAAAATATGAATGATTTGAATAAACATTTTATGCCTTTCAAAAATATTTTTACCAAATATTTTCAAAGATGCTAATGGCTTTCCATAATTTTTAAGTCCAACTTAGAGTTAAGTTTCACTTAAGATCTTTGTGAAACACCCCCCAGATTATCTTCAGAATCACAAAATATAGATGGCAATTAACATTGCAAAATGTGAGTATGCCTTTCGTCACCCCTCCCACCCACAAACACACACACAAATCCATGTAATGCACCAATATTCTAGTAGGGATTTATTGAAATGGCTAGCTTCCTAATAGTGCATATGAGAAGACTTCTACTCCTTATATCGACAACCTCTTTATCTATTGCCCCAGACGTATATGATGTTTCCTGTAATATTGGTGTACCTTCAATCTTTTCCATCAGCTGGTGAAGATCTGGGAGATTGGAATCGGTAACACTCTCCAAGCTATCAGACTCGTCTGCCTCAAAGTGGTAGGTTTCATCTTTATAGTTGTGTCTTTCTCCCCTTGTCATCATTGCAATCTATTTAATTTTCTCCTGTTGCTTCTTACTGCACTGCACATGCACCTGCGACACTTGCTCTGTGTTAAAACACCTGTTTCCTAGCCTCAACTCTTATTAAACTCAACACTCTTCTTAACCCAAACTCCATCTTAACACCCAATCACATGCAAAACCCTCATTCAATATGTTTTAAAGAGCAAGTCACTGGAGTGTATGTATGATCACCATCGCTTCTATTTTCCGATCATATTTCTTAATGTTGTTTCTTCCCAATATTTACATTTTCATTTCATGATTTTGCACTCTTTCATCATCTGTATTTTACCTAAAATGAGTCTAGCTCACAAATGTCATTCTGCTTTCAATATTTTCTATTATACAGTGTAATCATGCAAAACTTTGTCTAAACTCTCAATTTTTTTGTGCTTTATACTTCATTTCTGTTTGTTTCTATGTGTGCTTGTACTATAAAAGTTCTGTTTCTTTTAACCAGATCTCCTTTGCATATTATGCTTACCGATATGCCACTCTCTCTTCTGTCACTTCCACTGTCATCTAACTTAATTTGTCGGGTTATTGGTTCATTATCTTTCTTTCTCTTTCTCTCTGCACCTTTTCCCATCTCTCTCTCTCTCTCTCTCTCTCTCTCTCTCTCTCTCTCTTATGCTCTCCCTCTCTCTTTCTCTCTCTCTCTCTCTCTCTCTCTCTCTCTCTCTCTATCTCTCACTCCCTCTCTCTTTGTCACTCTCTCTCTATCTTTCTCTGTCTCTCTTTCTGTCTCTCTCTCCCTCTCTCTCTCTTTCTGTCACCATATCCTCTTCATCCATTATTCTCCAATATTTTCTAATCACGTTCCCATGCTTTTACATCACCTGCTTCCACCCTCCCCCTCCTCCCCTCTTGCTCTTTCTTTCTTTGTGATGCACCCTATCACTCTCCTTTCTTCTATCTAATAGATAGCATGCACCATGTCTCCTTGTCATATCTCAATGCTAGGGAATATATTGTGCACTGTGTTACCATCAAAGTGAGTAGTATGTAACATAACAAATCTTAATACAAATGAGCTATATCCATCACAGAGCTACCTTCTTAGCCATATTATTTGAATTTTAAGTTAATGATATGATCATGGAATTGATTCAAGTGTCATATATCAACAGTGTATGCAGCAACCCTTTAATAAGATCCCCCCCCCTTAATTAGAATAGTATATTGACGAAAACTATTTAAATTTGATTAAGTGATAGTTGACTTGTGACAAACTATTCAAATAGAGTTTTGAACTAGTTTCCAACAGCAAATTCAACAACTCGACCGTATACACATTCATGTAAAACATTTAAAATTCTTTTAACCCTATTGATTCCATTACTATTTTAAGTTCTAGGAAAAAGGAACAAGTTTAACATCAGTGATGATAATGTCTCAAGGCTCTTGTGTTTTGGTTCAATCTAGTGTGGTGGAGATGTTTGAACTGTGTGATGATTACGAGAGCTCCATACAACCTGGCCTCCCAACATCGCAGCTGGCCGAGTACATCGATGCCAACAAGGTTCCTGGAATCAGACACCTTAAACATCTTAAAGATCATGATCATATCAAACAGGTAAGGGATAGGATTAGGGGTAGGTTGATAACTCGTGAGGAAGAGGAGGAGGATGGTGGGATGATGGAGATGATGATTGTGAAAATGATGATGATGATGATGATGATGATTGTGATAATGGCAGTGATGATGATGATGATGATGATGATGATGATGATGATGATTGTGATAATGATGGTGATAATGATGATTATGATGATGATGATGATGATGATGATGATTGTAATAATAATAATGGTTTTCATAATAATGACGATTGAGGTAAATATGATTAAAAGATGATGATTGTGATAATAACGGTGATGATAATGATGATGATGATAATGGTGAGGGTAATTGTGATAATAATTGCGATGACGATGATGATTGTGATAATGATGTTGTTGATGATGGTGTTGATGATAAGGATGATGATGATGGTGGTGGTGGTGGTGGTGGTGGCAGTGATGGTGAACATTGCAATGTTAACAATGGTATTGGTGGTGATGATAAGGATGATGACTTGTCAGGAGGAGGAGGAAGATACTTAAATATTAGCAGTAGTTACATTAATGTATCTATTTTTTACTTTTTTATTATTTATGTTTATTGCCATTATCCATTTTATTCTTTTACTTAATGTACTAGCAGGACCCGCGGAAATCCGCGGGATTCTAGAGGGGGGCGGGGGGTGTAAATAGATATATAGAGACTGTCTAAATTAAAACCACCAAGAACTTTATTTGCCATTCAGGCCATTAAAAAAATATACATGTTTAGCGTCCCCGCCCGCTTCCTTTTTGGGGGCCACCTCCTATATTTTTTTATATGTGTGCTAGTCTGTTATATTTGCATGATATACAATACGTCAGTCACACCACCAAACCTGACTTTAATTTTTGGTTTGTCTGTTGTCGGTCTGATGTCGGTCTTGTCAGTCGGTGTGACTTGGGTGTAAGTGACACTTATTCTGTCCAATCTTTCTTTTCAGATAACGGCTTTGTGCAGTTGTTCCTCCTTAGGTTTGTTTGCAACAACCAGTGATGATGGGACTCTCAAGGTATTAAAACTCAAGATACTTTGTAGACCTGTCAGTATCAAGAGAGAGCGAAAGAGAGAGAGAGAGAGAAGAGGAAGACGAGAAAAGAGTGGACAAAGAGAGTAAAAAGAAGATGCAATGAAAAAGAAATTGAAGAAAACAAGGAAAGGTAGACATAAGGTAGTCAAAGAAAAAAATTATATTGTGATCTAGTAGGAATAGGAGGAGTTCTAGCTGTAAATGAAAATGAAATTTAAACAGTCAATGAGATTCATCTATTGTGGCCTATCGGCCTGTAAATAAGTTGCATTTAATCTGTAAAATCCATGTTTTATGGGCATTGTTCTTTGCACAAGTTGAATAATTAACAAATAAAACGTCTTAAAATTCATCATCATTGTGATAAAATCATGGTCTAACCCTTGATTATGACAGATTTGGGACCTGAGCAACACCTTGGTGCGTGAATTATTGTTTGATGAAACGCTGAGGAGTGTATGCTTTGCCAACGCCAGAGGAGACCTACTGGTAGGGTTTCAAAACCACATCAGGTAAGGCTCTTGTTTTTCTAAAACTAACACTTTCACAGCATGAAACTTTTTTATATTCCTCATAACAGCCATTTCAATGGCAAGAAACGTTTGCATTTTGCAGAAATTTGATGTTTGGATCCAGTCGTTGGGCGATGTGAACATTTTCAAAATGTCTTGCTTTACAGTTTAGATAATTTATAAACCTTGTTATAGGCCACATGGCAATTTTTTCTTTTTTTTTTAATTCAATTAATTCAATTCAGTTCTATGCCAATAGTCATCGACCACAAGTAAAAAATCATATAAGCAGTATTACATGAAATAGGTAAAACAGTAGATGAAAAGATACCTTCAATGAAGAAAAAAACACCAAAAATAAGCTTGAATGTACAATAACAGGCATGTAAACAAATCATGATAATCAACATGCAAAATATTACATTGTAAATTTCATTTACCGTAATCAGTCTGAGCCAATATGCTATTATTCAAGGAAAGATATTGGACTGTATTGGATAACCTTGGATAACAAGAGTGATTAAGCTTTTAAGTATCATAATTGCCACTTCTGTGTTTGAATTCTTGGAATGCTGGTCTCCACAAGGATATATTCTATTTGCTGTATAAAAGTCACATACAGACATTTAATAATGTAGGATTTTATCACCGTTGAATTTATGTTTACATTAAAAGTCCTTGTATTAAACACTTCGAATTTGAATCTTTTACCTGTACCTGATCATATACAAATAGTTCTTATCTAAGGTTTACAAGAAACTGTCTGAATTTCCCATTATACTGAATTTTAACAATATGTAAACAGCCAAGAACCAGGGGGGTAATGCTAATATGATTAGTGAGATAAGCTACTAAGTCTTCCTGCAAATTGTGTTTGATTTGTCACAGAGTATCCCCCTCAAAGTCCCTTTTCTTGGTAGTTCCTAGTAGAATTCAAAGCAAATGTGTCTTGTTATGTTAATGATGATGGCATTGTAAACTCCTCTAAATGGGTCCATAGTTTAGTCCATTATGAGTAGTCAGTAGCAACCAAGACCTCTGGGGATATTAACATTATTGGAGAGGTGTTATTGCATTTTTTATACTGTTGTTTAGACCAAAGGTTGAAAATAGTGCCCATCTTTTTTTTAACGATAACTGAAGCTACATCATGTTGTGGGACTTCAGAGGACTTGACTGAAGTTGATTATTAAAGAAGAAAGGAGAAGTTGTTGCACATTGTGTACATCCTGAACAAGACGCAACCAATATGACCAGCGAAGTATGTGCAGTGTCTTTGTTACTTGTTACTTGTTACTTGTTACTTGTAGAGATAATCCCGATGGCAGCTATCATACAGCTAAACTGGGATGTCCGTGCAACGTGCTGGCATAGTGACAGTGCATGAAGTAATTCAAAACAGTGAATGATGTCTATTATTTACAATAAAACGGTGGACGTGCAAGTAAAAACCAAGACGTGGAGTCTACAGTAGCTTGGACCCAACAGGAGGAGGCAACGCTCTGATGATGGGTAGAGCAGCCTCCTGGAAGATGGTCACTGTTGGAGATATTACCGCAGCAGCTGATAGGTGGTTCCACGTCCAGATGGTGCGAGGATAGAAGGAGTACTTGAAGCTATCAATGGAAGCTGGGGGTACTGCATACTTCAGAGGGTGATCATTTCTGCCCAGATATGTAGCTGGGATAATGTGAGTGGGAAGAGGCATGTTGAGTTGATGATGGTGCATCTTGTAAAACAAAGTGGACTGTGCAAGAAGCCTGCGATTGTGAAGGGTATCCCATCCCAGTTTGTTGACAAGTGCTGTGACTGATGTTACTCTCCGGTAGTCTTGGTATACAAAACGGGCGGCAGCTCGCTGTACTTTCTCAAGACTTTGTATTGATGTCAGAGTCCGAGGGTTCCAAGCTTCACTGCCATACTCAAGTTGGGGACGAACAAGCATTGTGTAGGCTTTGGATTTGATGTTCTTGGTGCACGGTGATAGAGTTCTGCGTAGGAGGCCAAGGGTTCTATTGGCTTTCTGGGTGGTGAGTTTACATTGGGTGTTCCATTTAAGGTCATGGGTAATCGTGACACCAAGATACTTGTATTGTTTTACTCGAGGAATTGACTCATTTAGTAGGGTGTAGTCCACTGTGATGGGGTGCTTCTTGTTTGTGATTGACAATGAAGCACACTTCTTGATGTTGAATCCCATCAGCCATTTAGTAGACCAGTCTGCAAGAACATGGAGATCTTCTTGCAGTATATGAGTGTCTGAGGGAGAGTCGATACGCCGGTAGATGACACTGTCATCTGCAAATAGACGCATTGTGGACTTGATGTTGAGTTTGATGTCATTGATGTACAGCAGGAAAAGTACGGGGCCGATGACAGAACCCTGCGGTACTCCTGAAGTAACAGGCATCCATGATGAGCGAGCACCATTGACGACAACAGCTTGATGTCTATTCGCTAGGAGTGACATAGTCCAGCGGAGAGAGTCTCCCCTGATTCCGTAGTAATGTAGTTTGGATCTAAGGTGTGGATGTGGTACGCGATCAAACGCTTTTTGGAAGTCGAGAAAGACGATATCAGTTTGGCCTCTAGATTGAAGAGAGGATGACCAATCATCGGTAGCTGTGACAAGTTGTGTTGTTGTCGAAAGATTCTGTCTGAAACCATGCTGTTCATCAATGAGTATGTTGTTAGCTGCAAGATTTGTACTTCATACTCGGAGACAGGTGTATTGTTGTCTCTTGTATCCAAGCAGGGTTTTGTGGAAGATATTTGATTCAGATATATATGGGACGGGAGATAGTATTAGTAACTTGTGATCGTTTGGGCAATATTTTTTTTCTCGGATCATTGACATTTTACCTACAGGTGGCAGTTACCTTAAGTTTGAGTATGAGTTGGGTATGTAAGCTTGCAGTATCCTTTGACATGACAGAAGTAATAATCAAAGCTGATATTTTTGATTTGGTGTAACGTCGTGGAACCCCAAACATGTAGAGCAACTTATTTTGTAGTGAATTTGTCCCTTTCAGCTCACTTACTAGTACAGTCAAACCTGCTTTAGTGATCACCTGTCTACAAAGACCACATTTTTTGTTTCCCTTCAAAATGGGTTCTCATTGCAACATGTACTAAAGGAAACTAACTACAAAGACCATCTGTCTACAAAGATCACTTTTTTGTGTTTCCCTTGGGCGGTCGCTATAGACAGATTTGACTGTATATGTTTTTCTGTCCTTGCAGCCATGTGAGTATCGCATCCTACCTTCCTCTGTCATTGATGGAGATGCTGGTCGAGACAGAGTTTGAAGATGAGCAGGTAGAAGAGCCGTTCCAGTTTAACCCAGACCTGCCTCTATGGTGAGTATACGCATAGATTGACATAAATGTCTACGTTTGCTGGAGAAATGTAGCTTCAAGAACTGGACTCTTGTATTGCAAATGAACGCTGGTTTCAACACCAAGATAGAATCGTAATGAAATTGTAAAGAATTCAGGAAGAATATGACTATTTAGATTAATAACAATGTTTAGCCTTCATACTATTGCTTGCAGTTGTTCCACTACCATCAGCTCATGAAATATCTGTGAATGATGTGAATAAAATAGCCAAGTAGCACTCTTGTCACTTGACAGTTATTTCGAGTGATGAATAGCTTTGAACAAATAAAGCATTGTTCTCTGCTAACATATTTGAGCTGATTGTGTTAATTAGAATAGAAATATGCTCCTGTTGCTTGTTGCTACATCAGACAAGCCTCACCACAAATAAGCATTATAGTTTTTGAAGAACAACTTTGTTGTGAAAGAGTTCATTTACCTTAATTATGCCTCCGTTACGAAGTAGCCGGAGGCATTATGTTTTCGGGTTGTCCGTCCGTCCGTACATACGTACGTCCGTACATAGGTACGTCCCGTTCTCGTGATCGCGTTATCTCAAGAACCGACTGATGGATTCCAGCCAAACTTGGATCATGTATGTATCTTGCAGAGCCAATGAACTGAGTAGATTTTGGGGTCACGAGCTCAAAGGTCAAAGGTCACAGGGCTCATTATGTATGCAAAAATAGCCTGTGATTGCATTAACATTAGAACCGATGGATGGATTACCATCAAACTCGAGACATGTATGTATCTTGCATTTGGGGTCATGAGGTCAAAGATCAAAGGGTCATACATGTACCGTATTTGCCGGCGTAAAGGCCGCACCCCCGCATAGGCCGCACCCCCGATTTTGACATTTAAAAAAAAAAAAAAAAAAAAAAAATCGTTTTTTGTTTTGTTGTTGTTGTTTTGCTGCCGAAAACCCACGCGTGGAAGGACCTTCATTTAACATCGAGGTGCAGTTAAAGGCGCTGATTTGTGCTTGTAAACTTGTCACAAATAATAGTAACAATGTCGTTTTTAGAAGAATGTGTAAGATCATTAATGTGAATTAAAAACAATAAAGTACCTATGGTACCAGTGGTGTACCTTGTGGTACACCATTTGTTATAGAAAAAAATTTGAGGAACTATTATTATAAACTACATATTGAGATCTATTAGAAAGATTACTTTCAAACCAAGTTGACAGTCAAATTTTAGTGTTGTTGTAGTTTCCGAGTGGTGAGTCAACACACTGATTACTGAGCTGGGAGACATTGCCAGGCATAGCGCCATAAATCGAAACTAAAAAAAAAAAAAATTTTTACTCTTTCGCCGCATAGGCCGCACCCCGACTTTTTGATATTTTCTCTTCCAAAAATACTGCGGCCTATACGCCGGCAAATACGGTATATGAGAAATAGCTTGTAATCTCGATATTCTGAGAACCTGTTAATGGATTACAACCCAACTTGAATTTGAAAAATTTCTTCCGTTTTGGTTTGTAAAATTGCTCTATGACGGAGGCATCACTTTCGACTGCGCGCAGTCGAAGTTCCATCTAGTTTCCAGATGTTTTAATATTGATGTTATGACCATGTATAACCATAACTCCCTTTTCTTTCTTGTACTTCTGATTTACTACAATCTGAAATAACATTGATCAATGATTCATATTTCTGTTATTATTTGATTTTGATTTTGATATGCATGTCAGGTTCAATCTGAGAAGCATTCCTACTTTCCCCACTGACCTCCTGTTGAGGCAGATTGTTAAAAAGAAACTACCCCAGCTAAGAAAGCAGATCCTAGGAGAGACAACGTCCAAGATAGAGGAGAACAAGGAGGAGGAAAGAACAGAGGAGGACCCCCGAAGCAGTGTTGAGATAGTGATAAATACCAAAAGTATTTTCCAGGTTGCAAAGGAAGAAAGTACTATCCAGGTGGCAGAGAAAATGGGTAGGTACTCTTAAACCAGAAAATTGTAAAACTTTATGCATATGTATTTAAATTGAATTACAGAACTGAATTCTTTGTAATTCATGTTTATAACTGCAAAAATGGCCATCATTAACTATTCATAAAATTTGTCATGTCCCAAAAGTGTCCAGGTTGCAGTTTTCTCTCCCTCTCCTGTATGTGATATAACTGAACTAAGAAAAAATATACAATCAAGAGACATAACTACTGGAGGTTTGACTGAAATTCAAATTTACCTTCCTGACAATACTATATTCAATTTATTTTTAGTTTGAGGCTCAGAATGATTTTTTTCTTCCTCCTTCGCTTTCCTGTAACACCAAACTGATATTAATATTAAAGCTAAATAGCACCTATTCTTCATTCATAGATCAAGTAACCACTGAAAGGAAAGAACCAGAGCCTACCCCACCCAAGCAGGAGAAGATTCGACAGGGTGATGGATCAATGAGTTACCAAGGCAACGGTGACCAAGCTCCTGCCGCTTCTGTTTCAAGTTAGTTTGTTTGGGATTAAGAGACGTGGAAGAAATGATAAAACAGTGCATGAGAAGGAAAATGAAAATAGTGTTTTTATATGGGGTACATTTATTGTTAACCCTCATATCACAAGAATTCAACAATTGATGAAATAAGTAAATTATGCTGTGATAAGATCATTAACCTGAGATAGCCCTAAGGGCGAAAAAAAATGTAAATTCATCCTTCTCGGATCATCTTCATCTATCGTTTGTTGATTAATTAGGATGCATGATGTCTATATTGATGGGGGTAATACTCTTAAAAATGGGAGGTTTCTTGGAAGTTGATGCACTAGTAGCTGTAGGAATCCAATGAACATCAATTACCAAGTCCCTTGCAAAGGACTTTGGCCTGTAGGTCTTGTGCTTGCTTACTCTTCAGCTGATTTTGCTTTTATAGCAGTCTGGTAAAGAAAACTTAACTTACAAAGTAGTGTCAATTCCTCTGACAGCATTGTAACATCAATTTTGCAAGTGGTTAAGATGTGAGAAAATGTTTGCATGTTTGCATTGCTTGGAAGTTTCTTGCCATGAAAATTACCATCGTTATTATGTCACAAAAGTCGTGTATTATGAAACTTCCTAGTTTTACAGTAAATATTACCCTTGACATTTTTCTTCCAGAACCCGCTGCTGATGAATGCAGCAAGATTGAGGAAACTTTGAAGGAGAACAAGGTGGATGCTACACAAGAGCTAGACCAGGATGAAGAAACAAAGGCTGAAGAGTTCAAGGTGGAGCAAGAGGTTGCCATAGAGATAGATGAAGGAAAGGACATGGAAAGAGCAGAAGAGACAAAAGAATCATTAGAAGAACCACCAGAGGAAACAGTTGTTGAACCAGTGGAAGTGGAAGAGCCCAAGATTAAGCTACCCATTGCTCCAGATGGTAGGTCCTTCTATACCAATAAAATAAAAAAATTCACTATTACAATTATGTACTTGTCATTAGTTTATGTAATATCCTTCTGAACTATTAAACTGGTTCTTCTCATTGGTAAATTAGGTTAAAACAAACCTTCTGTTCACACAATCAAATTTATTTACCTCCTGTTCGGTTGCCATTCCCCCACCTGGGACCTGTTTTCACTGCCACTCGTTTTGACAGACCGTGCTGTAGTTCTTTCAAAGTTGTGAAAAAATACACTTTATATTCCCTTCCTCAATCCCTCTATATTTCATAATTTTATCTTCCATATGTACAGTTGTCTGTATTCTGTCTTTTCCTTCAAGCTCATACTTTCATTTGTTCTATTATCGACATCACTCATTGCCCCATCGTATGATCTGTTTGCATCTTTCCCGTACAGGTTACATACCAAACTCGGTCATCAGGAGGATAGTCCAGCCCCCACCACCTCCTCGTTCTCCAACCCCGCCCAAGGAATATAAGCTTATGAATGTAAGTAACAATGTCTCAGCTGGTCAGCTTGACCCGGGGCCGAGTTTCCACGATATTATCCCATTCTCTGATTGTCTCCAAGAAATGTCCGAAAACTCCCTTTTAGATCAGGGATCGCCAATAATATTAAAAACATCACATTAAAAAAAAATAGAAAGAAAAACAACCTTTAGTTTGTAAGAATGCCATGTACATGTAAACATAATGATTATGTTTTTTTTTAATGCCACCCATGTTTATGGAGCAGTTTGTAGTTGCACTGATGCCATATATCAATCTACTACTTTATTTCAGGCCATGTCATCTCTGCGTTTCAAACTTTTCCAGAGATATATTTCCTTTATTTAAAAGGAAAACAATAGAGCCATGTTTTCTTTATTTGTTTGAAATGATTGACTGGGATATTCATCTGAATATGTTTGTGCACCTCCTTTACAAATGCAATTGACTTACTGTTGTATTTTACCTTTCCATATATGTTCATTCAGTTATGTTTATTGAAATTGAAAATCATTTTTTTTTTCTTCTCCTTTTTCCTATCTTCTTTATAATACAGTTTCCTGATGGACATGTACACTTTGCTGAGGAAGAGTCAGACATGGAATATGTAAGTTTCTCTCAAATTTTTGTTGAATAAACTTTGAATTTTGCTTAAATAACTGTTTTGATATTGGCATTTTGTCAAACTTTAGACATCGGATGAAATCAGGTTTTGAGAAACGCATGGAATTAGTAGCTATCCTTTTGGGCTTGCTCTTCAAGTTTCAGAGTGATTTACAAGTGATATTCTGTGATGAATTTGGGATTGGAGTGACACAAAACTTTTTATTTCTGAAAAGAGTGCCGTGACTGAAAATAGGATGAAAAATGCTGGTCTAAACAACGGTTTACACCACCACCATGGACTAGATATTAAAGCATGCACCGGTAATCATAAGCGTCTCATTGGCCATTGGACATGAACACACTCCTTTGTGAATGTGGGCCATTTCTGGAAAGTACTTGGAGACAATGATATTAAGAATTCTTGATTGAATATTATTTTTGCAGGACGATCATGAGCCTTATATCTGGTCCTCCTCAGAGGAGAGCATTAAGGACGAGGTCACCCCCGTAACTACCCCTAGCCCTCCTGGCTCGGAGCCAAGCTTCCATCAGCCACTTAAACCTAGAAGACGAAGTGAGGCTGAGATAGCTGGTGAAACTGCGCAGGCCATCGCACGTCAAAGAAGGATGAGCTTGAGTAAGTGCAGTATTTGATTTTTTTTTTTAAATCTTTGCTAGTTGGACCAAATTATGAAATTCATAGCACATCGTCAACACAAAGATCAAAATTTTCTTTCAATGTTAAGAGACCAGTTCACACTCAATGCATTCAATCTTTTTAAATGGCATATCCATAGTGTGCCTCACATTTTTCTATTTCCTGTAACATGCAGATGAGGGAGTACATTCTGTTTGACGCAAAGACTTAGTTTGTTTTCACCCACAATTGCTGTTCACTTACACATATAAAATAGTTTTTATTTTGCTTTAATTGGCCTCAGAATTATTATTATTATTATTATTTTTTTTTTTTTTTTTTTTTTTTTTTTTTTGGGGGGGGGGGGGGGGGGTTTACCGCATCATAGGGGAGCAGGGTTGTAGTGGGTCTCAATGTGTGTGGCTTTGAAAATCAGAAAATAATGAAGAAAAAATTTATCTTGTTGGTATTATTGTTTTTACTCTCTCTCTTTTATCATTTATGTTGTCAGAGGTACTTGGAAAGCTGGTCCTTACTCATCCTGGGTACAGTGAAGAGAGAGAAAAAACAGTAAGTATCGATCAATTATATGCATGGAAGTTTCACGGTACAGTGAAGTTGCTGTACACTTTCATCCAATGGCTCTAGTAAAGTTATACTATTGATTGTGCTAAAGAGACCTAAAGTAGCTAGTGTTTTAAAAGTAACCATTTTCAGTAATGTGTCAAGAGATGAGACAGTTTTCAGATATATTGGTGTGTGTGGGTATCCTATACCGGTACATGAATCTTTCATCATTGCTAAAACATTTTTGTTTTACCGTAATCGAAAACATCAATTAAAGAATGTAAAATTGATATAGTGAGCAAGACCTTCCTAAGGGAACATCGTGCCTCATCCAGTCTTTTAAAACCTTGAAGCCTAGGGTTAGAGAATCAATGCCCTCCTCTCACTCCGGTCTGTGCACATGTTATGAAGATGAAGCTAAAGAAGTATGAATCAGTATTGACTGATGAAGTTTCTACTGTCTCCCCAAGGTGTCGGTCAAGAAGACGAGGCGCAAGAGCAGAGGTATCAGCAAAGAGACAGGATCTCTTAGAAAATATGAAAAGGTATGAAAAGATAAAAATGGTTCATACAATTTTGTAATGCAGGGATACTTGTAATGATAATTTAGTTCTGATTATGATAGAATGTAAACTCTTCCAGAATTAAATGAAATTTGCACTGATATGTTCAAAACTTCTAATAAATTGGTATCTGCCAGATGATTTGGTATACAATACGTAATGAATGTGATTTCTAGCAAGTTTTCAATAGTTTGTTGTATATTACTTTTCAAATGTCGCTATATTTCTCTCCATTCTATTGCACAGAGTATTAAGAAATATATACCGGTACTATTGCTAAGTAGGGAGCAACAAAAGATTCCATATGCAAATACAAGTTACATTTATCTGTGAATGTGAATTCTAGCAAGTTTACAATAGTTTGTGGGATATGTCCTTCCTCATGTCGCTGTATCCGACTTCATTCTAATGAACATTTATTTTTAACATTTTTTTTTTGCTTAACATTTATTTTTAACTGATCAAAAAAAAAAATTAATAAATACAAAAATTAATAAATAAATTAAAAAAAATATATATATTAAAAAATGATGAAAAAAAAAAAAAATTAAAAAATGTAAACAAATATGAATGAATTTTTAAATTTTTTTAATTCTTAACCATTTATAATGTTGCTTGTTTTACTCCGGTAGCGTGGTACCCTGGCAGATATTACTCAAGATGGAGGAGAAGAGATTGAGGAGGAAGAGGATGAGATAGAGAAAGATCCGGTAGATATTCTCCTTCAAAAGATCACAGATAACTACTGGTATCCTAAAGGGCTCAAGATGGGTATCTATACTACAGTCTCAACACTCCGTGAGTCAATGATTTAAGTCTTGTCTACTTCCTGTGAATACCGCCATTATCAGTAACAGGAAGTAAAACTTCTTCCTCCTTGTTTCTTTGTCCACCAGGGTTTACCAACTCCTTTGCTTTCAACCCTCATCCTGTATTCCATTATACTATTCCCACCCAGTCAGATTCGTCTTTTTCTGAACAAACAACCGAGCCATTTTGAGCTCCTTCAATGCATCTTCAATTTTCCTCAAAAAGTATCAAATGCGAAATTAAAACAAATCAAGATTTCAAAGCCCTGCCATAAGGGAATATGTTTTGTTTGATGCAAGAGGGGTTAGTGTGAACATACTTCATGTAGATACAGTACATGTGATATCTTAATCATTGTATTATAATTGTGGACAGATCTCATTGACATTTGACCTCGTGAGATTCCACATGTGTAACTAATTGATTAAGATAAGGTGTAAATGATAATGTACATCTTCATCAAATGGCATCAAGTATTGTTCACTATTATTTAAGTCCAAACAAAAAGATTAAGATAAGGCGCAGTTTCGATACTTCTGGAATGGCAAAAAATGCATGTATACTTGTAATGGCATTTAGTATAGTGGCCTATTTTTGAAACCCAAGCAAGTAGATTAAGATATTTAGATAACATGTGCTGTTATCATGAAGCTTCTGTTATGAGAGTCACCTGCCTGGTCAGTTTTGCATTTCAAATAACTGTTGTTAAACACGGTGAATAAATGAAGGGAGCGTAGCAGGTAGCTAGGCAAGTATGTGATTAAATCAAGTCTGTTTCATTGGTGAGGATCTTAAAAGCACAGTCTTCCAGTCTATTTTGAATTTTCTGGACTTATATTTGACAAGTTGAAAGATGCTTTATACATTTTTTATCATTAGGTCATGAATTTAATTTTCATGGTCTTGTATTGAAGGAAGACAGACAAGGGGGAATTTATATGTATCTACATTTATCAGTTGCAGTAAGTACTGGCTTCCATTTTACCGCTCCTCTCGATTTCTTCAATCAGTTCTTGAGAATTCATCTCTTTTGTGATATTTTTCTTGTTCTCTGATGCAGTAAAATTGTTGGAAGATGCATCTCATGAGCACTACAAGGGTATTTGTGATTTACTTCAAGAGCTGAATAGGTAAGCTCTCGTACGTGATATGTACCCACGAAACCTTGACGCAGTTGGATTCAATTCAGTTCATGTTATTGATATTGAAAGTATGGTAAAGATGCTAGTCTACAGACTAATATTGTCATGTTTATAATATACAGTGGATGGAATAAATAGGCACAAATATTTAACATCAAAATAGTAAAAAGGAAATGAAGTTCAGTAATTTATTAACACTAACAATTTTTTTCGGTGATTTGAATGTCAATTTTCAAGTTTTGTCATGTTCAGAATATGGGACCTACATCAATCTATCTATCATCTAGCTAATATCTAGAGTACAATTTGTACTGATACTACCTTAACCTTAATAAGGCGGGGGGGCCATTATGGCCCCCCCCCCCCTCCACGATTTTTCTGATTACTCGAGAACGCATATGGATGGCGCCTCGCCGCTCGCTGACTTTTTTCTTTTGAGTCTTGCGCGACTTTTAAAAAAATTTTGTTGAAAATCAGACCTACGGTTACAAGGTCACGGGACCTTTTGTCTTTGCATGTCAGCCCGAAAATCGCTCATTTTCGTGATTTGTGTACAAAACATATGGAAAAGTCATTTTTCCTAAAAACAGATCAAACATGGGTTATTGGGTCTTGTTTAAAGTTTAGGTGGTTGTTTTGGGAGTCAAAATAGTTGAATTGTAGTGAGAAATGAAATAAAACATAAAAAACAATGAAATACATAAGAAATTATCAAAACAAGGGATAACATAAGGAATAAGCTGGCTCTTCCAAATTTTTTTGTTGTATTATTTTTCAGAATGGTCTAATGAATATATGTAGTGAAAAAGAATGCTTAAATATGAATAATATATGATTTATGGGTAAAAATGTGATTTTTATGACTTTATTTGCATAAATTACCATAAGTATGCAAATGAGTGAATTTTTCAAAAAATTGAAATTATCATATTATTCTATACACTTCACTTGACATGCATGCAAATTTCCGCGGCGATCAGCCGCTTTGTAGCCGAGATCTTAAGGGGGGCCATAATGGCCCTCCCCCCCGGCCGTACTAAGACCTCAAATAGCCCGGCCTTTTGAGGGTTAAATCATTTAGTATTTAGAAACATCTTTTGAGCACTGATCATGTAATTGATATTTCACAATTGTTTCAAGGTATAGCTCAGAATCTGATGGGAATGTAATCACTTTGTCAAAAAAAATCTCTCATTTCTTAAATTTATGCAAAAATACTAGGGTCAATAAACTTGTTTGGAACCCAAATATGGTGATTAGTTCCCATGCAATAAAACAGGAGTATTTAATACAAGAGTTATATTGTGCAGTCCATCATAAAAAGACTCATCTTCATTGGTTTGAAATTTGCGATAATTAGGTAATTATTTAGTAATCCTAACCTTGCAAAACTTTACCAAACCATGCTTATATTTTCAATGATTGTATCCTTTGAATATGATATTTCATTCATTCATTGTTGTATCAGTCTTGTCAACTTTGGAGGATCTCTGCTGGGCTCCGTCATCAGTAGGTACCTGAGGGATCTCAAAAGCTCCAGCTACGAAACTCGTTTGTTTTCCATCCAAGCTCTGAAAGGTCTCGGAGACAACCGACCCGAAGTTGTGCTAGGTATTCTCAACGCCATGGCCGATAATGAGGTATTGTAGCGCTGACCTAACATATGCTCAGACCACAAATACTTTGAGATTGTTTGTGTTGTCTAATATATAGGTTAGGGTTAGGTTTTCAATCTGGTTTAGGGTTAGGGGTATGTAGAGTGTTTGAGCAATAGTTGAGAATGATAATGAATGGGGAGCAGTTGTTCCATACAACCATTGCAGTATTGACCTTACTGAGCAGTTGACGTGAAATGTAAATAAAAAATTAAAAAATCCTTGCTTTGCTGAATAAAATTATATTGTCCTGTGAGAAACACCAATATTGACCTATCAAATATTTAGTGAAAGAATCCTTTTGAGTATTCCAGCCTGTATCTCACTCCTATTCAGAACATGCAGTATATTTGAATTAAAGGTTGTTGAGCTAAACCCAAAATTAATTGCAAAAGTCTTAAATTCAGATTTAATATCCATTACCATTTGTGTGGAATACAAAGGTCAGTCCATTAGAAAAGTCATGTAGCAAAATAAATAAGTAATTACTTTTTTCTTGGTTAGATCACTCTTGATTCGTGCTCGTTAATTTGACACTATAAATTAATGAAAAATATGATCTCCCCAAAATCTTTTTCTCATTCCTTTCATTAAACTGAATTGCGTTTCATTTCATTTCATTTCTTTTGGAAGATACCAAATAGAACTGAAGTTTTTTTTAATTATTATTCATAAATAGATTGCATGGATTACAATAATAAATTCTTCCAAATCAAAATAAAAACTGGAAATACTTCCTTTTGCAATTTGTAGTTGTAAGACAAGTTGTTTTTCTTATAACATGTATTTTTGTTATTTTAATCTTCATTCACTGTAAGCGCTTTGGGCCTTGTTGGAAAAGCGTGGTATACGTAATTTTTATTATAATAATAATTTCTTCAAATCCAAATTTAGCAATAAATGACTGTAATTCATTTTGTTTGATTGACTACACCTAGGCTGGCATACAGGCGGAAGCAGCAGAGGCTATAGATAAACTGGCTGGGATCTCAACTAAGAATGCTATGGAAGATTACCTAGCTAGCATAGGCATTCTGCAACCTCCTCAAACAATGGTACGTGTTATCAGAATTACCGCAATTTGATTTTGAAAGAAATATCTCTATCCTTGTATTTGATAATGTTAATAATAAGTAACATCTTTTGAGTTAGGTTTGTAATCGTTGTATGAATACAGTTAAACCTGTCTACAGCAACCGCCCATGGGAAACACAAAAAGTGGTCTTTGTAGACAGGTTCCTTTAGTACATGTTTCAATGAGAAACCATTTTCAAGGGAAACAAAAAATGTGGTCCTTGTAGACAGGTGGTCACTAAAGCAGGTTTGACTGTACTTCATTTGAAATGTCATGTTTGTATTGGCCTTCCAGTCAGAGAAAAAGGCCAAATTACTTTCAGAGTGTGGTTGTATAGGCAACTGGTCTGACGTCACTACCTTTTGCAACTAATTTGGCCTTTCTCCACCTAATCAAACTGTCATATCGTAAGATATTGCAATTCCTTCCGAAAATTGTGTCACAGCCTGGAGGTAAAGTGCTGGTTGAACAATAAGAGGAGGAAGTATCATGTTCATACAGGTGTAGCGACATTTGGCGACACATCCCCCATGTTCTCAGTTCTCGCTGCTCCTGCTTGCATGAATACGGTATATAGAAAGCTGTGACCATCTCAAAACTTTTGTTTTGTTTTGCAGGATCCACTTAGTGACCTTGCCATTCGATTCCGACTTGAAGCCCAGCGAGGAGATGACAGACTGCATACCACTGCCTCACATCTCTTAGAACGCAGACAATCTTCTCAGTTTCACCTTCCTGATCAATCGAGCAGTCCAGATGGGGTCGAGGATTGGCTGCGAAGTTACCTACACAACAAGGATCTCTATCAATACAAGGTACAACCCTTTTCCCTTGTGATGTAACATTTTTAAGCTGGTTGTATTCTGCTATCACAATTTAATCACTAAGGTCGTTGATCAAAAATGATATGTGCAAAACTAAAAAAGAGAAATGCCTTCACTACTGCAGATTATGGGCTTCACAAATATTGTTCAGAATGTTTCTGAATTACTGACATCAGACTTTCTTTTTCTTTCTCTCTTCCTTTCTGTCCCTGAAATTATAGTTTGGAGAATTGGTTTGCAACAGACAATTCATGAATTTTTCCCCCGTAGATCTTTGACAAACTGCTAGATATGTATGCGCATGTAATTTATATGTGAATGTGTGTTCTGTAAAATAGCTATTGATGTAGAACATGAAGTATGGGTATGTTTTCATGTTTAATTTTAAGATATTCTTTTTCTTTTTTTGTATTGATACCAGCCCAAAGGTCTAAAGATTCAAGCACCGATCCACAAGAAGAAACGCAGAATGGCCCTTACTCACAGAGTGACAAGACCTACAGCAACTGGAGAGCTAGTAGCCCTGGAAGAACCAGAGGAATTGAGTGATGAGGCATTGAGTGGTTATGGAAGTGATGAAGATGAGAAGGAGGATGAGGAAGAAGATGAGGAAGAAGATGAGAAGAAAGATGAGGAAGAAGATGATGATGTAACTTCGGAGGAGGAATTGGAGGAGGAGCTGGAGGAGATGGAGAGCTTTGCAAGGCACCCTGAAGAGCATCATCAACGGCCAGTGAAGTTGAACAAACATCAGGCCATGATGAAAGCCAAAGAGATGGCTGCTGAGAGGGAGAAAGTAATCATGGAGCGAAAGGCCAAAGAAAAGATGAGGAAACACATAGAAGAGTACGAAGAAGCCATGAAGAAGAAACGCCGAAAGATGAAGCATTTTTTGCCCTACCACACAAGGTTCTACAATTATTACTCCAAACCAGAGAAGGCTAGCGGGCAAGTATACCAGCGTGCAAGACGAGGTATCAAAGCTATGCTGAAGTCTGTACCTTCCATTCAAGAGACTGAAACAATGCCAAGCATAGTGGAAAAAAGATCCCGTCATGACTCACAAATACACGTACAAGAGCAAATGTCTAGTCAATCTATGGTATCCGAAACGGACCAAACCCCTCTTCAAACCGGCCTCCGACAAATGATGCATCTTCAAATAGAGGAAGAGAAGGAGGAGGTGACCACTCCAGAACAATCTCTCAGAAAACCAGTCAGTCAGCAGATTTCAAGAGAAACCAGCAAAAATGAGATCAAGAAAGGAGTTCACTTCTACCTAGACAGAAGGCGATGGGAGGACAAGGAGATGATAGCTAAAGGTTTGGGTACACAATTTGGCCCGAGGTTCAACACCCCTGTGGAACCCACTGGAGACTCGGGTCTCGGGGAGAGCATATTGATTGGAACCAGCATATTGACTGGAACCAGTCAGCTACTCACTGGAACAGGTGCAAGTGATATCTTCAGTGAATCTGTGACTGGTACAAAAACTGATGGCACCGGTGGGATGCACCCAGGGAGCATTGAGAGTAGCAGACCAAGATCTAACCTCACTAGGGCTAACGTCAGGCGACATGAGCTCCTCAGTGCACACAAAGAGGCCAGAGACTCAGAGATAGTGGTATGTCTTTGGGCATTATTTGAATTTAATAAACGTTTTTTAATTACATATGCATTTTGTTACATGATACTTTGTAAACTTATCAGACTGCTTAATGTGATTCAAGCATATGTGTTTTGCTTGAGTTTTCAAATTGAAAGATTATTATGGTTTGATTATTATTATTTGACTCCTCAAAATACCATGAACATTCACGTTGTATCTTAACACACTATAGATATGAAGACAATTGATGATAATAGAGAGGGATTGACAAATACTTAGCATGAGAGAAGAAACATGGAATGCTGCAGTTTTTTAACATACTTTTCTCTCATATTTTGATTTGTCATAATTGCATTGCCAAACGAAGTAATCACATCACCTACAATCTGTTGATGAATGATTATGATGTGTTAAGTTTAGTTAGTCTTTTTCTTGGTCAGATATCAGTGTTATCTTTCCTTTTCCCTCAGCCCAAAGAAAACTGGCACGACTTCTTCCTCCTGCCTATGATCCAGGAAAAGCGAAAGCATCATGAAGCGCTTCGTAGTCTTCGAGGTGGCATCAGAGTTGATGGAGAGGCACCTAAGAAACCAATGAAGATCAAGTGTGTTCCATCAGGAGTAGCTCTAACACCTGGCAGTAGCAACCAGAGGATACTCTGTGACATTTCGCTTGGGTCAAAGGGCAAAGGTCGAAGCATTGGAGAACGGGGAGACATCCCTCAGGTCCCACCCTTGGGGTAAGTGATATTGAGGTTGTGCATTGGCGATGATAGTAGGAATCAATTCTATGGAGAATCTCCAGGTAGATTCTTTCTTGAAAAATGATGTGTTTAATACTGTAGAAATTCATTTCAGTCTGTTTTTTTGAAAAAAATGTTTCAAAGACAAAGGTTAGAGTAAGATAAAGACAGTTCTGTAAAGACATTTTAAAGTTAATAGTTTCTAGAATCTCTTCCTCATTTCTCTCTTTTTTTCTCCCAAACTTCCTTTTCATCTTACCATCCTGTGCAGAAAGCAAGGTGTGACAGGCTATGGTGCGTTACAGATGACTTGGTCAAACATGGTTCCACGATACACTGCCCAAACACAGGAGGGGCACTGTGTAACCATGGGAAGCAGGAGGCGTGACTTGTCTCTGGGGACGGCACAGAGAAAAGAAAAGGATTGGACAAAATATGAAGCAAACAAGAAGATGTGGCTGAGAACACAAATGCTCTATCCATCACTGTTTGCTCTCCAGGAGATAGATTTGGTCAAAAGAAGGTGAGATTGGTTGTTGGTTCTATGACACTTGGGGAGTGTTTCACAAAGACTAAGATCTACTTTAAGTTGGACTTACCTATGTCAGGCTGTTCATGCCACTGTTTGCTCTCACCCTTATGATCTTTAGATAATATTTTTTCCTTCAATAATGAATTATCAACAAATGTAAATTCTGTAGATTTATGACTATGATAAAGTCCCTTGAGAGACCAATGCCAGTGAATAGTGAGAGCATACAATAACATAAAAGGATAAAAGGAACCAGAAAATGGCATGAATTCTATAAATCGAGTCTGGTATCTTTGAGCATATGAAGAACATCGTTCAGATCAAGACAGGAGATTTCTGGCAAAGAATTATGGTCTGTTTTATACCATCTCATTTTTGTAGACTGAGTGAACCTCACCCAACCAAGAAGGGTAATGTGTTTCAATGGGAGACACCGCTACCTATGGTCTCATTCAAACCAACAGAGAGACAAGCTGAGGAGCCAAAGAAGACATGTCGCATGTGTGATCAGGTGAGAGGCTAAAACAAGGGTGTCTTACCATTTTACCTTTCTGTCCTCTACGTTATATTCTTTTCTTGGCGATGACTTGATGAGAGGGAAAGATAGAGAGACAGGAATGCAGACAGAGAGAAATGGAGAGAGATAAAGCAAAAGAAGAAATTTTAAAGCTAATTCAATTCCACTTTTACAACACATATTTGTAATAAACATTTATACAAATGTCTACAACACTGATAACAAATGTAAGATTAATTTTTCTTTGAGAAAAGCATTGCTTTAAAATTATGACAAAGATAAAAGAACAATTTTCAGGTCATGTGCTGAGAGCCAGAATGATATTAACTTGTATACTTTCATATTATACATGTAATCTGAACACTATTTTGGGGGGAAATACACGAGGGTACTAAAATCGCCCTTGAGTTGATTGTTTAAAAGTCTTAAAAGTCTTCTTATATAAAGGTCATCAACTTTATAGTGCATCTGTGTTTACATTTCCCTTCTATTTTCAATTTTCCATATATAGGAGCGGCACAAAATGGCGACCAGTCTCCCATCCATCATCCAATCAGAGAACAGGGAAGACGTCCCTATCGTCCCTTGGAATTCCATCGCATCGACCTGTGACCCATGGACTCTACCGAAGATTAAAATCCACAAGAAGCATGCGAGTGATGGACTAAAGACTGTGCAGCAGCAGCCACTGGCAGAGATCACTGCCCAGTCATAGCACAAGCCCATGGACTATTCTTAGCATAAGCCCCTTGAACCCTTCTTCTATCAAGATCAATGATGGTGTGTTTTCCTGCACCAAGCTCCAAGCACAAAAGGATTGTGAATCAATACGACTGGATGTCAACCATAAAGGCAACATCATTGCAGCTGATTACAGAACAATACCAAGAGCTATTAGGACTGGACATTTAGTGCTAATAGTTCTTATTACTACGTATGTATTGTAAAATAATATTGCACCAAATTAATTCTCAAAGATGATGATAGGAAGACTGATTTGTATTCACATAGTGATTTTAATTTCAGAATTTGGACTCAGCCAAAATACTTATCTCTGAGACAGTTTTCACATCATTGGAACACTCTGTGCTAAAGATATTCTTCTCTGAAATATTAGAAATGCTACAATTTGATGGCCACTCATGAAAACCAAACTTCCAGAATAATATAAGTTCCTTGTATTTATATTACATGAATAAGAATAGGACTATGTTGTTTGGCTTAAGTAGAGAATACAATACAATAGGGAATTTGTTAGTGAAGAAATGATGCAATGATTCTGTGATGGGGTGTAGTAAAGACATTTTCTTTGTGAAAATACCTTGAATCATTGAAAACAGTTTCTTTGATCTGTTCCCATGAAAGAATACCTCTTAAAATGCAACTCTACTTAGAAATTATAGTTGCTCCAATGTGTGGAAATTTATGTGCATGCACAAAGCTGTTTTTCTCAATACTTGCTCAGTAAATATGACACAGAAACCCAAAATAAAGTAGCATAATTGATATTGCATCTTGCTGATATTTGTCTGTTGTGTACGAGTGTAGTTGTTCATATTAAGTTGCAGATAATCATGAAACTCATTAAAATTTTGTTTCATGTCACATAGTTTGTTTACAGTACAGTACACATTGTTAAGTTATGGTTCAAGGTATGCCATTACTTCCAATACTAGTGGAAAATATGACGGGGTAAACCTCAAGATGAAAAGGATGAAATTTTTCTAATGTGTGTCTCTGGATTTGTCTTTAACATGCATAGATCACCTGGAGCATTCCTCCTCCACCTCTCTCTCTTCTCTCCCCCTCTCTCTCTTCTCTCCCCCTCTCTCTCTCTCTCTCTCTCTCTCTTCTCTCCCCTCTCTCTCTTCTCTCCCCCTCTCTCTCTCTTCTCTCACCCTCTCTCTCTCTTCTCTCCCCCTCTCTCTCTCTCTCTCTTCTCTCCCCTCTCTCTTCTCTCCCCCTCTCTCTTCTCTCCCATCTCTCCCTCTCTCTCTTTCTCCTGTCTCTCTTGGTCCTTCTTCCTCTCTCCAGCCATCAATAAGAGAATGCTGAGACCCACAAAGGTGTGTCAGATTATAAAAAATTGAGGGCAACTCCTTTGTTGCGGACAAATTCTGTCTAGAAACTTGGCCATAATTCCATAAAAAGGATCGTCTTTGCAACTCTTGGACATAAGTGTTATAGTAAACAGCACAAAAGAGGGACCGAACTTGTTCATATTGAAAGGCACAACCAATTTTAATCTACTTTAAGACACATGATTACAAAGTGATCAAGGCATTTGATGGAATTCATACATATTATTCATAAAATTCAGTACTTATAAAATATTCACCAACTCTAGTTTTTCTTTTCTCTACTGTCAGAGTATGAATTGACACTCACTGAGAGGGCCAATGTACTAAGGACAGGGTACAATATTATAGTTCTCTCTGTGAAGAAAAGCAATGTTAACCCTCATAGAAAAAGGCATGTTATTAAGCTATTTTTTTTTTTAATGAGAACTTTCTGTGATACATTTATTTTTTGTGATTTTATCAATCTGTTGAGAGCCAGTAGTGCTTTAACTCCAAAATGTAAAAGTAAACATCCTCCTGGCTCCCGGAATAAAAGAAAAGCTTACTTTTACAAAATTAAATTCATAAAGAGCCCCCCCCCCCCCCCCCACCCTCAACAAAAGAAAAGGAAATCTTCTTATATTCACTTAAAAGTTACAAGAATATTTGGAAAGCACTGTTATCTTAATGTTAGGATATAGTTTCCTCTTTACCAATGCAAAATGGCGAGTAATGGCATTGTACCAAATTGTGCAAATCTTTAAAAGTGAAAATCTGAGGTACATGTGTAATACTTTTTTTCAAATTCAGGATCAGTTGTGATTCATTATGAAATAAAAAATGACTAAAATTTCTGCATAGACAAGATAAAAATTAAAAATAGAAAATAATTACTTTTGATATGCATAGTAGGAATGTGCATGATAGCAATGAATATTGAAACAGTACTTTGACGAATTACTATGAAAATATTGGTTTCACATATATCAAAATCTAAATATAATGCTTTTTTTTTATATATTAAAATATACATTGATTTAGCAATGAGAAAATGCTAACATAGGTAGGTCTACATGTCTCATTTCTTGCCAAACATACAATGTAAAAACACTTAAAACAATAAACCAAAGATGAGAGATAGAAACAAAAGAGGGTTAACAAATTAACCATAGCTTCAAGAGGTTCTTGATGTCTCCTCCTTAATTCTTTAAAATTCATTATTGTAGCCTTAATTTTGGTTGCCAAACAATCATTTTCTTGATCTCACCTAGAAACCTAATACCCAGAACGTTACCTTATCATTTATATGAGTTTTAACAATAAAGATACACTATCATTGTATATAAGACAAGTTTGTATCAAACTGACCCTGTGACTGCTACTAATGGGAATGAATCCTGTTAGTCCCACAAATGAAAGGTACTAAACTCGGCTCACAGTCTGCGCTTGATGATAGCACAGACTTCATGAAATACCGGTACTCCAAAATTCTTTTTCTTTAACACTCCTCCTTAAAAAAAACAGTCCTAAAAGAGTACATACTTTCAGTGTATATACAGTGTATATGTATTTTTTTTAATTTTTTTTTTTTTTTTTTTTTTATTTATTTATTTTATTTTTTTTGGGGGGGGGGGCAGGCACAACCCTCCCTGACATGAAGCTCAAAAATTGTGCCCTCCTTTACAAAATCCTTGATTCACCCCCCCCCCCCCCCTTATCAATATTCTGAAGTAACAATACATAATTTTATACTCCTTGGAATGTTTCTGACAAAGATACATAGCAAAAATAAATGCAATCAATACACAAATATGATGTGATGAACTGTAAGCCTCACCTCAAAAATCATACAATAAATTATACAGATATTAACGATACAACTTAAATGTGCATGATTACAACTATAAACATTAGTACACACTATTATCAAGTAATTTCATAAAGGTGACATATTGCATACAAATATGATTAACAGTATAACAAACAAAAATCACTACATGTCAAAATGTAAGTAATCTATAAAATATAGCTCCACACATTTAAGTACTAGTTACAGACATAAATTATTTTCCTCCAATAAATCATATTGTCAGAATCTATGTGTGGATTGTGCCAAATATATCATTATCAATGCTAAATATGAAGCGAGTCATGAATTACCTATTAATTTTCATGGACGTGCATTATTTTCTTTATTGGGACAAGAAGACATTTTCCACCTTACAAATCATCAGATCATATTCATAAAACTTTTTACCAATTCTTCTAATGCACAGGTGGGATTTTTTTTTCATTGACAGGTAACATTCTTACAAACAGATTGAGTTATTGCATTTGTTTGTGCATTATTTTATTCACTTTAATCTAATACCTTCTTGGTTCATCTTCAAAACTATGTTCTTTCCTATGACTGGCCCTACGAGCATTGATGGTGGATAGTCTTTCATAGGCTTCCTGTATCTCCATGAAACGATGAGATGCTTCTTCCTTGCCTTGTCCTTTGTGTTTATCAGGATGCCACTTACGGACAAGCTTACGATACCGCTGGGTGATCTGTTCTTGGGTGGCTCCTTCCTTTAAATCTAAGGTCTAAAAACGAATAAAAATACAAATGAAGAGGCTCATGCTGTTAGTATATAAGAATCGTTGAGGTGAATCATTTACAGTTTACAAAACATTAAAACTAAAGATTGCATTCAAAAGTGCTTCTTAAGATAATGGCGATCAAAATCAAGAGCATTTTCTCCTACTTTAATTTTGTGACTCAATTTCTACTTAGAAAATCTACTGGCGACAAAAATGGCACTTCAGTACAGAAATGCAATATTTGACGGCCAAACAGAATTGGTTCAGAAGTGATACAAACTTGGTCGGCATTGTGCACACTTGTAAAATCGTGCCTGATTCTCCCCAAGGAGTGAAGAATGCCTACATGATTTGTGTGGGAGAGCCTTAATCCAACACTACCACCCTGTAGTATTTTCCACGATAACTGTGCTTTCATGACTTATAAGCCCAGAGTCTAGCACATAATTTTACAACAAATTAATAAAATTTGAACAATAATTTGGCATGCAGCAGCATCCAAAACCTTTGTGCTGCACTAAAAAATTGCAATCTCCCTATACCAATTCACACAAAGCTTGATCACATTTATGAATCACTAATTAGGTGGTTATTCAAACATATCAAATTATGAAAACAAAATTTTATATTTATATTCTCATTCTGTACGTTTAATACTCTATTTAAGTACCTAATTTCAACATTTTTGTTTGCTCCAATATCAGAGGGGTGAAATCTGACCTGAACTCTCAGGTTGTTAGATGGTCTAAATTAACCCTCTCTTTTGGGGGTTTCACGCTTAGAGACAAAGTGCAAGCATTAAAGGTATAGAACAGTTTTGGAAACGCCCCCCTCTCAAAAAATGTAATGGAAGCTCTTTATTACCAATCATGTGAAAGAATATTTTGAATAATACGTGATGATACGAATTTTGCCCGAAAACCGCCTTCTAATTTATATATTTGGTAAATTATTATATCTATCTGGACCGAATAGACATCGCGCACATGTCGCGTAGTCCCATATACATCTTTCTATGTACAGTGCTCGTAACTTTACCAAGACTGGGCAAAATTTGTTATCATTTTGATGATTCCAGAACCTTGCAGTACACACCTATGCTAGATGATCAACCTTTTCTGATCGATTCCACAACGTTTCTTTCACAATGCAATTGCATGACCAGAATTGGTCTTTACCTTACTTGATTATAATTTTGATCTGGGGTAAGAAGAGGGTGATGGTGTCTCACCTTATGAGCAGAGGCTTCTCCTTCCGGATCTAAGGCTTCGACAAACTCATTATAAGCCTCCTTCCAACCCCGCTCTCGAATCAAGGTCCAGACGTGGCCCAAGACCTCCTTGAAGTCCTTCCAGGCTGGTGACTCAAAGAAATGGGCGAGAGCGTCCTTCACATAGATGGTCTCTCCTTCAGCAGTAGTCACGGATACGTTGTAGTATATGGCACAGCCCCAAGCAGTACAAACTAAAGCTCCTGCAAATGAGATGAAGGATGGTATAGGTTATCCAATTACGGTCTATGACAGGGGTTCACAAACTTTTTCCTTAACGGTCCAGATGGGTATTAAATGAAAGTGAAAAGCCCCGCAAAACAATGGGCAAATCTAGTTTATCTAATCAATTATTATTGTTACAAAAATTTCTCAAACTTAACATTTTAATAGAGTATCTCATGAAGAATAACTTCATGAATTTTCATATCTATGTCTCAAATGGTTTTTGAATAATCACTAATTAACTAGTCACATGGGTCGCGAAGTGACAATATTGCATTGTGAACAGTACATACAGGTAATGCATGGGGAAATGTTCATTTTGGCCATGCACAGCGCAGGGATTTTTGACACTGTGCATTAACAATGGTACCCTTTGGTAACAATTATATAAATTTGGTATCAAAAGATAGGGAGCCGGGTGGATTCTGCCTTTGAGAAGCCCTGGGGGGTGTTTCACAAAGATCCTAAGTTGAACTTATCTCTAAGTTGGACTTAACAATTACGGAAAGCCGTTAGTATCCTTGAAAATATTTGTAAAAAAATTATTTAAAAAGGCATAAAATGATGATTCAAATCATTCATATTTTCTATTATCAAGGTGATTTCATGTTCTTGATGTGCAATTTATGAAAAGTCTAAAAATCCTTGAATTTCTGCTTTTGAATGTATTTTATTTTAAGGCTACAAGTGGCTCTCCACAATTGTTAAGTCTAACTTAGGGATAAGTTCTACTTAGAATCTTTGTGAAACACCCTCCTGGTCTATGACAAGACCAACAGCTTATTTCACCACACTCTATTTCTAATGTAATGTTGTTTAATGCATTCTTATTTTATTGTTTTTTAAGAAGTTGATTGAATTAAATTGAATTAATATCTTTATTTATACACCGTTAAAAAGCCCTAAATATAACGTTTTTCAATACTACATTGCTTATAAATTGCTTTCAATGGCAATACTATAAAACCGATAACTTTACAAACTGATAATGACAGCTATTTTGGTAGCACAAAACTTTTGAAAATAGCAAGTTTATACTTAGAATCAAATATTTCAATCTGATTTGAACAATTCATGGCATCAAAATTCTGTGAATCATCTTCTAATGAATTTATGTCACCAACCTACGACCTACATGTACCTGCTAATCCTAAGATGACTATTCTTTTACAGACACCATCTGTTTTCCATCTTTCTGGCGTCCGTCTGTAGGCAACACCCCTCCTGAAGACAATGGCACTGAATATCGACAGATAAACTATATTACTTGGGTCGGCATACAGAAGAATACCTGGAATGTATGCTCCAAGGAGAGCATATTTCAAAGGACCTTCCTCTCTGCCAATGTTCCCGACTAAATGTACTCCTAGCGCTACAGCGAATGGTGCAAGGAGAGGTCGCAAGATGGGGAGGGCGTCTGCAACATCGTTCGGTACTGCACACGTTGCAAGATACCCAAAGAAAGCGCTGACAAACAGTTGACCTGCGAATCTGGATATACTGAAGGATGGGTAGTTTCGAGTTCTTAAGAGCTCAGTGTAGTACTTGACATATGACGATTCATCATTAGCTGTATCGACGTAACGACCGATACAGAAGAGATCTCGGAGCCATCCAAGACCAAAGAATCCACCTAACGTACACCACCACACAAATGCATGTCTGTCTCTCCCGAGGTAGAAATGATGTAGGCCAAACCATCCTCCTGTCATCCATAAGAAATAGGCGATACTTCTCTTCTTCTCCATCATATGGCTTGTCTTCTGCAGGCAAACTCACAAAGTTATGATGATGGGTAGCTCATCCTCACATGGAACGAACTGAGCTCTATGTGGCTGATCTAGGATGTCACCCAGATAGATTTGTACTTTATCTGTATGATATAGGGGAATTATAAGGGGAATTGTTGTTATGAATGCTTATGGCGGTATTCATTCGCTTACTGATTATCACTGTTATACATGTAGTCATGCACTTTAAAAAGTCTTAACAGTTGGAGTCTCTATTATTTCATCCTCTCATCCAATCAAATCAGACACAATCAATTCTGTCTCCTGTAATTGACAAATGGGGAGAAAAGAAAGCTCCTAACCTCATCTCATCATGGCTGGCAAAAAATGTAATAAAATTAATGCTGGTTTAATTTAAATCATCAAATGAAACCAAGGCACAGATTGAATTAAAACTTTATCTTCTTCTTCTTCTTCTTCCAGTTAAGTGCTGCTTCAAGGTGATGAAGATAATCGCACTGACCTCTAGATATAATTCACAATGCCAATTTATATTTATGTGTCTATAGTTTATCATGAAAATTATTTTGTACAAGCTTGCAGTTTTTAAATTTTATGCACTTCATAATCTTGGTTCCAGAGTTTGATCAGTGGTGCATATCCAACATTGCAAAATTCATGGATAGTCAGTTTATATATATTTTTTATGAATAAAATGTCAGAAATCCTGCACCACTGATCAAACTCTGGAACCAAGATTACGAAGTGCATAAAATTAAAAAACTGCAAGCTTGTTCAAAATAATTTTCATGATAAACTAGAGTAGAGTCTAGACACATAAATATAAATTGGCATTGTGAATTATATCTAGAGGTCTACCCCATTTCATTTGTCTTTCTTTGTTCTTTGTTCTTTTCTTTTTTTTTCTCACTTATTAAAGTTATGCCCACACCATCAACACAATAACAATTAATGGTCACACTGACACACTCACAGACTCAATGCCAATCCAGCTAATGCTGGGAACCAACCAAAAACAAAGTTGGCAAAACAAATAAAACAAAATCAAAATAGGAGAAAAATCTAAAACTTACTGAGTAAAATAACTAGATTTATATACAGTCAGCTGTGGGCAAGTATATTGCAGGCCTTCCTATGCCTTTCAATGGAATCAGTCGAACAGTAGACGATGCTCCGTGCCATGAAGATTATATTATGGTTGGAACCATAACCCGGCCGGGAAAACTAACGCAAATCGGAGTGCACGGGACTGTAATTTCTTTCTCTCGTCGCGAAGGACACATGTCAGCTGTGCATTGGTGTGAGGTCAAAGGTAAAGAGCGAAAACAATAGGAGGGGATATGGACTGGAGGAATCGAAGGAGGGATCTAAGCTAGAGCCAGGGAGGGGGGGGGGGGGAGGGGGGGAGGAAGGCAGGGGAGGGAGGGAGGGAGAGGAACGGAGGGAAGGGAAGACGAGAAGAAGGGATATGAATTGAGGGAGGGATAGCAACGGGGGGGGGGGGGGGGTGGGAGAGGGGCCAATCAAGAAGGAAGGAAGGGAACTAGCACTGAACATGACTGACAAAAAAAGCGGACAGAGTCGAGGGATCAAGGGAGAAACTGGAAAGGTCGGGATCGAGGCAGGGAGGGCACTTTCTATATTGTGTTCCTGATCCTCATGATACAATCAGTGCAATCTCATAAGTAATACAGAATATAAAATATCAAATGAATATGGATGATAGATATTGGTTTTTCGGTGTGGTAATCGAATCCCATGCATGCATGCATGAAGTTTAGTCCGTTTATTGAAAAAACAGAAAATGCAATAAATTTTCAATTATTAAAAAAAAACATGAACAAATCTTCTGTGTGCCCATGCCTTGAGCCATAATGCATGGCCGTCCACAGGATTTTGTTATGTTAGGGACAGGGTTAAAATGCAATAAATTATTGAAAATTTATTGCATTTTCTGTGTTTTTTTTTATTTATGGAAACTGCCCCCTACCCTAGCCTCCGCTGCGTATAGTCATGGTTCAGTGACCAAACAATGGCCTCGTAACTGTGAGGCCCTCCCGCCCCCCCCCCCCACTCTGGGGTCGGAATAACCGCATGCGTGTTACCAAAATGTCTGGTAAAGGGGTACTTTTCGTGCAACATAGTCCGGCCCGAGAATTGTAAAAAAAGGGGTGTATTTGACTTTTCACACGGAGATTTCTTTAAAAAGGGGGTGTTTTTCTTTTGTTCTCTCATCTCTTTGGACTCCTGAGAAATTATTCCGAATTTAGGGGCACATTGAGCATTTTTCCGTATTTAGGGGGGTCTCCAAGGCAGGAAAAGCCCGCGAAAAGCCCGCGAAAGGGGGGGAGGGGTTCAGAAATGTTGGCAGTCCTCAGATAGGGGGTGCTTTCAAAAAGAGGGAACGGGCATACGCGTACCCTAAATAACACTGAGTGGGGGGGGGGGGGCAGGGAGGCCCTAGGATCAAAACCGTGTCGATGTGCTATATTAGTGCCCTTTTGTGGGGCATTAATCCTCATTACTGTCATTTATGACTTGAGGGCGTAGGTCCCCTAGTTAATGAGCATAGTAGCATACACATGCTTTAGCAGAACACACATTGTCAAATTATTATTCAATAAAATCTGAGAATGTATACTATTATCTAGATCTATTATTTTTAAATAATTTTTAAAATAATTCCATAAATTGGGGTAAAACTAATATATTCCACCTTTATGAGCGACAATGTATAATCCCTTACAAAAAAGTACCATGGTAACCATGTTTTTTTTGGTCTAAATTACCATCCACCATGGTAACCATGGTTATCATGGTACCAAAACAATGTAATACATTGCTTAATGACCCAATGTATTTCATTGTTTTGGTACCATGATAACCATAGTTACCATGGTGGATGGTAATTTGGACAAAAGTAACATAGGGGAAATTGTGTATTATCAAAGAAAATATGGAAACATCATGTAGGCCTACTAGTATGCCTGCTTAGATATGCCCAATAAAAATTAAGAGTGACTTGCAACAAAAATGAAACAATGCAGTAAGGTGGTGTGATGTACTAGTAAGAAGCGTTGGATCACTTACTATACCGCCCCCTTCTCTGCCCCCTCACCCCCTCTCTCTCTCTCTCTCTCTCTCTCTCTCTCTCTCTCTCTCTCTCCCTCGCTCTCACACACTCTCTCTGTCTCTAATATCTCTCTTTCACAATCTGACTCCCCTCTCTCTCTCTCTCTCTCTCTCTCTCTCTCTCTCTCTCTCTCTCTCTCTGTCCCTCTGTAAACAACTGGTAAAATAACCGATCCTTCCCCCCCCAAAAAAAAAACCGTATTGTTCAAGTTTGAACGTGCATAATAACCGAAAGAAATGTATTGCTTAGTAATCATGATTCTTTTTGTTTATTCCAAATCCTTGAATATGCCCTGTCACGGGTGAAATGTTTATTATATTTAGAAAGATGACTCATTATTTAGGATTAGTAATATATGTCTTTAACCATCATTTTCCAATGCTCATTTCCCGTAGCCGCACCGCATAGCATCACTAGATGATATCCGCCAATGAACATATTGTTTCCTTTTTTTATGAGCTCATATCAACTATTTTTTGTTAAAGGAATGTGAAGAAGAGAACAAGAACAAGTGAAAAACCAGCAAAACAAAATAAACAAAAAGTGAAATATACAACAAAAGGATCAATAGATTTCCACTGGTGTGTAATCAAAATTTGTGGATTATCACTTAATACATTTATTATGCGAATAAAAATGATGATGTTGCCACGCAAATTGTTAAAGAGAGAGAGAGAGAGAGAGAGAGAGAGAGAGAGAGAGAGAGAGAGAGAGACAGGGAAAGTCAGATTGTGAAAGAGAGGCACTGAGAGACAGACAGACAGTGTGAGAGAGAGAGAGAGAGAGAGAGAGAGAGAGAGAGAGAGAGAGCAAAAGAGAGTGAGAGAGAGAGAGAGAGAGAGAGAGAAACAGAGACACAGAGACATATAATTATTAGAGAGAGAGAGAAATAGAGAGAGGGGGCAGAGAAAAGAGACAACAGAACGAAGCATAGATCACGTGGACGGAGAAAGAGGGAAAGAAAATGATGGGGGTGGGGGCTATTATAGCTCCCACAATACAAAGGGCAGAAAAGGTTCATTTTAAGTAGATCAACACATCTATTTTGATCAACTTCCCGCTCAGGTGACATCGTTTAGCGGTGTCATCGTCATCGAAAAAATAGCCGGAAAGGAACCAGTTTTATCTCTGACACTAGAAGAAAAAAAATACTGCACTTCGTTTATCGGAACGTCATGATGTGACGTTTGACTGGAAAACACTGTCAGTGATCAGGAACAAAATAATCGTTGGACATTGTGATACTGTACGTAGTTACTAAGCTGGCAGATCGAACTAATTACCGCATACCATGTGACTATTAAACTTCACTTTTATGGACTGTGGATGATTGCTCTTTAATTCCAAGACCTATCTTTAGGACACAAACTGTGACTGATTTAGGTTGATAGAGAACTTGATTGTCGATATTTAAATGTCACTGATCCACATGGATATGGCAGCACATTAATCTTGATCCATTCATCTTCGTTCTTGCCGTTTTGTTTTTACTCATTTCAGGAGATAATCTTATGTACCTGATTGATAATTATTGGCCTTCTGTTGTATAACCATTGAAGGAGGAAGCAATATGAAAGCATTTTATCTGATTCTTTTGGTGTTTCTGAAATCATGTTTCTTTTTCTACTCGGACGGTTACATCTTATCACCCTGTAAGTATAATAATCCCTTAACAGTGGTTAATGCTCAGACTGTATAGCAGTAGTTACATGGAACATGGACTGTTTTAAATCACAAAAAGCGCTGCTATATTATAATTTTTTATTTTTTTTAAAATACTAAATACATGAAGGCCCGAAGTGTATAACAATCATAATGACATTGATACTTTATTTTAGCACATACCTTGTTTTCCGCGTTCTTGGCGTCAGTAGTATATTATTTAGACGTATGTTGGTAATGTTTATTATTCCTCTGTGTTAAACATAATTATTGTACCTTTTTGTCGGGGGGGGGGGGGGGGGTGGGCGTATGGCTTCACTGATCGCCTCTATTTAGACATGTCAGAAGGTTGATTAATATAAAGTCTCTTCACCAACAAACCAGACGGTTATTCGGGCGATTCCATAAAAAGGCAATGTGTCCCATACAACAGACATGTATCGATTTATTTCATACAAAATGAAAAATTCCTGATATGACCACTAACTAAAATATTACTCTGGTATCACTGATCAAAATATTTTAGATTTTTGAATGAAATAAATGGGAAAAGGACAATATCACACTGGACACAATGCGCGGAATTGCCCATTTCTGTCTCGGAATAAAATGAACGTGATTTTTTATTTTAATTCAATTCATGGTCTAGGTATCTAAATGTTCATTGTATGCCCCTGGCGTGTATTTCCAATAGAACTATGTGTTATTATATAACTCTATGGTATTTCCTTGTTCATCAAATGACCTTACGAAAGAGCGGAAACGACCTCTCTGAATGTCAAAGGAGTGGGTTACTACAAAATACATGAGCGTTACAAGATTACGTAACCTTCATGTCGCTCGTCATTTTTGCACCTTTATGTTAGAATCAAGGCTTGGCATAGAAACTAAAGATGTGTGCACAATAATGTGCGGGAAACTTTTAGATGGTAATTCCTTCTTATATTTAACAAAGCCATTATAGAGACGAACAACATAATATAATTGTCATCGAGTTCTCATTTTAAAGAGGTTGAAATAAAACAGGATTATCCGCCACCCCCTCCCCCCCCCCCTCCCCCCTCCCCCCCCCCCGGGGGGGGGGGCATTCGAAAGGAATTGGTTCACGTGAGTGGTATATTGCTCAATGCACTTCCAGGATATGAACTTTGCGGTTTTAATAGGTATCTCCCCCCCCCCCCCCCTCTTTCCGGCAATATTGTAGTTGTTTTTGTCAATTTTGTGTTTTGTACGAGAAAACAAGATTAACTATCTAGCACAGTTGTGTATATTTTGACACCTACTTACAAAGTACCCACTTAGAATAAATCATTTGTTAAAGTCCTTAATTCAATTTTGAGTACAGTGTTTATATAGACACACTGATTATGTGTCAATGTTATTAATCTTGCTTAAAGTATATCATCATATTGCATTGAACTTAGATCAATATCCAGCGTAACCCTTCATAACTGAAACGTTTACAAGTTACAAGTATTAATTTGACAGTTATTTTGTGGATTGAGATGACTGGCCATTCATAATTTTTACCTTTAACTCTTTGAACCATCAGTTCGCCTTGTCAATGGGAGCTCCCGACATGAAGGTCGTGTTGAATTTGAGGTAGATGACGATGACTATGAAGATGGAGTCTTGTCCGACAATGGCTGGACAATCGATTCGGCAGACTGGGTATGCCAAAAGCTAGGCTACCCCAACGCCATCTTTGCTCCTGGTGCTTCTAGATTTGGAAAAGGCCAATACAATGTGTTCATACTTGACAATCAAGGAAGAGGTACAGTGTTCAACTAGATTAACAAAAAAAACTACCAATGTCTTTGAGACCCTAATCATCATCAGGTCCCATAACTTCTTGGCCATTATGGCTCCAAATATTGGCGTAGCCGTGGCATGTTGAACGGAGAGATGAGGGGGGGGCGTGGCGTAGTGGCCCAGCCCGGGGACGGAGGGGGAGGGGGACACACACAACCTCAGAATCACATAATGGGGTTTTCTTCTTCTTGAGTCAGTATAGAAGTCTGGCGCATGAGTGCAGGACACAGTATCTGACCGTGGCGTTCAACTTTTCTTGGGGCAGGTCCGTACGTGGGTAGGGGTACACACTGAGTACTGTATTAAGGGTGGGGTTATACGGCCCCGACCCTTAAGTTCCATGGATGACCTTTATGGCGGATGAATGGGGGATGGGGAGTGGTTCCTTTTTGGTCCGGCTAGCTACGCCTATACCAATAATGAAGTTCTTATTTTCACAGCATTTGAGCAAGTACAAGGTATATTTTGTCATTTTGTATTATGGAGTCATATAAACTTGGATCGATGTCAGACAATTTTTGTCACTTAACCATTTTTGGTCTGATCTGAGTTCTAGTTATATGGTACTAAATATTAAGATTAAATGTTATGAATAAATACATTAATAACCTCAGATGTGGGTCAAAATTGCTTGGACTTACCCATTTTTATTTATTTATTCATTTATTTATTATTATTATACTGATCTTGAGATTGCCAAAGGTCACTCTTGCAAAATTAATGTGCGTTCTGTTTTCCATCTATTATACTTCACCCCTTTTATTCTATCCTCTCTTTCCTTTTCCCCTTCCTTTCCAATCACATTGCCTTGGAGATGTTGGAGGATATAATGGTATTTGGAGGCTGTTCACATTGGACAGGTATATATATATATTGTATATCTTGAATAAAGGCGTTTAAAGACAGTGCATGACGATAGAATGTGGAAATTCTTACACTATAGTTCATAAGCATTTTGATAATTCATTTTTTTATATTATTTTTTTAGGTGTGCTCGAATGTGAATATCCGGACAGTGGCGACAGCGACAGCGACGAATATGTACCCGACTGCTCATCGGGGAACGTGCAAGCAGCAGGCGTTACATGCAATAGTAAGTGAACTAGAGCAAAAAAAAATCATAATCATGATGATTTAACAAGAGTAAATGGGAGGAAGGGAATGAAAGGGAAAACAAGAAAGAGAGACAAAATAATCTTTATTTGAAAGGAGATAATAAAATTTAAAAGGGAGTTAATGGGAAAAAAGGGATGGAGGCTTTGTTGAAGGGCCAAAGAGAAATATAGACACTGCATATAATCGTCAATGTGTGACGAAATGTTATATTAATCATTCTAAAAATATCCTTTTTATTTGTTTGTTTGTTTATTGTTGAGTGTGTATGTGTGCGTGTGCGTGTGTGTGTGTGTGTGTGTGAGTGTGTGTGCGTGTGCGTGTGCGTGCGGATGCGTGTGTGTATGTGTGTGTGTGTGTGTAGGTGTGTGAGTGAGTATGGCTGTGTGTGTTTGCAAGATATTTGTTATTGTTTTGTTATAAGTATGAATATACATGTATCTTCTTTTTTTTTTTTTTTTGTTGTTGCTTGTTATAACATGTTTTAATTATATTTGTATTTAATTCTATGTTAATGGGCCCCATTTACAAGCTCTGCTTCTCAGGGGTCCATATCCTGTCATCATGTTATAATTATTGTTCCAGTACCAGTGTCATTGTAAATTGTTTTTAATGATTGGCTGAATAAATTGAAATTGAAATTGAATTGATATAGTTCGAAGCTAATTCGTCATTAATTTTGTACTGACTGGAAGAGTTAAATCCACACAATTCCGGTTGTTAGTATTCTAAGCATTTTTCAATACCTAAATCAGGAAGACGATGTTTGTTTATATTTGCATATCTAATATAATTGCCATTTCTTCGGAAACCGAATCGCAGGAGGTTCGTATAGTGTGCGATGGGCTTTAGAAATGTCATGTCTATTATCTATTCATGTTTTAAAGAAAGAATCAATAATAATAGACATGATAGGGCTAGTGGAACCATTAGTTTGTCTATTTTCTGGCAATTTTACAAATTCTCTCACTTGGTTTGTCACGATTAATCTTCATAATGTTGGCAGAATAATTTTTGAAATATTGTAAATATTATGGTGTATTGTGTTTTGTTGTCGGTAAACAAAGTTACGTTTACTTTCATAGTGTAAATCACAATCATCTTAGATACTTGAGACGATGTCTGCCTTTAATATCTCAGATACAGAGCCTGGGTGCTTTCGAATTCGTAAGCCAGAACGAGACAGGGTCACGATTAAAGAGATGGACCAGATAGAAAGCAACGACGATTGTCGGGCGCTATGTCGGGACGAAGAAACCCTCTTTGCTGCACAGAGGGATGAAATGTGCTTCTGTTTCAACGATCCTTCCATTTTAAATGAAGAAAACAGTGGTTGTGACAGACCATGTGCTGGTAATTCTAGGCAGCTGTGCGGAGGCGGTAACGATATTTTTACAGTTTTTTTTAATGGTAAGAATCAAATAATTAACCCTTCCTGTGCCATTGATCAGTTGATGAACGTTTGCACAGACATCACATTGAAAACACAGTTTGCATAGAGTTAAAGGTACTATGTCCCATTTGCAGCCAACATCAAATTCTGTAGAACTTTGCAGGAATTATGAACATGTCACGTATTCCCTATCTGTGAAATGTAAACGTTAGCAGTGTCGTAATATTCAAATAATGCAAGGAAACCTTCTAGACTTCACTGTCAGACACTATTGAGTGACTGACTGACTTCTTTTTTCTTTGTTAATAACATACATAAAATGACCTGTTAAGGGTCATTTGTCTACATCAATAACCCACTTCTTGTAATGGCCCAAATTAAACTGATTGAATCTTTGCGCAGCACAAAACGTACAACCATTCAGTAAAAGGGTCTGAAAATCAGACTATTACTTTAGTGATTGCAATCACTAAAGTCGATTTGACAACTTAAGGTTGTTATTTTCCCAATTAAAGACATTTTTAAGCCCTTTTATTTTCAGGGAAGTTCAAACAAAATAGTATTATCTTTCAAATGCCGTTGGCATTTAACATTTTCATTATTTTTTTGGCCTGCAAATGGGACTTGTAGTCCCTTTAAGCGCCGCTTTGTTTACATTGTTAGTCAACTTTTTGTTCTTTCTCTCCTAATAGGGCCAGTAGATATATACGATTTTATGTTAACGGGGTTCATTAAATACCAACCTGACAATATCTTGATTTCGTAGCTTCATATCAATTTTTGACAAAATTTGATGTTACAAAAAGGTGTCCCGGGCTACACTTCAACTCACTGCTGGTTTAAACTTAACTGCAGCTGGAAAAAATAGGAAGAAATAAATTACTATATTAACAATACTTTATACTGATAGATAATCAAGTGTACACGCTCGTGCTTTTATTAATGGATTACGTTGAAATATATTGTGTTTAAACGCTAAAAGCTAACAATAATAATAATAACAAAGTTAAGGAAGAGGTGACTTTAAAGAGAAAATATGAGCATTGGCATTAATGTCTTGTCCTCCTCTGCTTACATTGTACAGAGAGGAATAACCTCCATTGCCTAAATCAGCATGATTGATTGAGGCACTGTTTTTTTCTTCAGTTTCAGCGGGATTCTGCCCCGAGATCTCCGGCGTTAATTTGAACGTGTATGGAAGCCGGTATGGAAGGTACCGATTTGGTGACATAGTGAGGGCGAACTGTAGTGGTGGATCACGGCTGATGGGCGATGATGAACTGCAATGTCTAGGTGAACCTGGTTCCTTTAAATGGAATGGGACCGTTCCTTCGTGTGTAGGTATGAAGATGATTTCATTTTGATGTCGGCTTTAAAGGTTGAAATGTTCTGAAGATTCAAATTATCATGTCTATATTCCTATATTATCCTATATTATCATGTCTATATTCACATCGTGTACGATTTCATCTAATCTCCATTACTCGTCCGATGAAAACTATAAGGATAAGTCGCAAATGAAATCCTTCTCTTTTCATGGCTGACCTGACCGATGTTTATTAAACTCTCTGCACTAGTTTGATCAGGAGGGATTATACATCCCTGCAAGGGCACTGACAGGTGGTTATCTCATCACATCAGCTCTCAATTAACATAAGAAAAAGAGGACCATGGGGAACCAACATGCACCTGTTAGGCATTGTTTGCTATATAGAGGGCGCAAGTAGCTATACGTAGTGCTGTGGGGATTTAAATTCGTTTTTGCTGAAACATGAATTCTATATTCATTAATTTGTTCTCTTTTCATTCAACAAAGAAATGTTTAATAAATAATCGGGATACTTGAAGGAAAATGATAGAGGGCACAGACTATAAAGTAAGGAATAATATGAGATAGATACAGTCAGATATAGGTGCAATAACATATTTTTATAAAAGGATATGCATAAATCTAGAGTGGTGGAAAGTAGAGCGAATAGGAGAAAGAGAGAGAGAGGGGGGAGGGAAATAAATAACGAACAAATAGGGAACAAATAAGGCTATTCAAATGAACAGTAAAACAAACAAAAACATGAAATATAATATATGATTATTTTCATATCTTTCAGATGGTACAACGGTTCAACCAGGAACTACGAATAATCCTAGAACGCAGCTTACAGGAAGGAGTACGGCACCCCCTCTTACGGGCACAGGGGTCGATCGAGTGACAGGTAAAAAACAATATCCTCATCATATTAACAGTTAAAGGGATAGTTGAGTTCTGTTTTCGGACCGCAAATGCCTTCAAAGTGCATGGTTATTGCTCTTATTCTTATCTATGACATATCAGTACCCTTTTAGAACATACAATTGCTATGAAGGTAATTTTAGACCCTAAAAATGTGTGAAATTTAGCCAATACGATCATACCAATTCAGCTCCACTTAAAAAAAACATGGTGACCGTTAATTAATTATTTAATTAAAAATAACAATACATGGGCCGGCTGTTTGTGCGTAATATAAGCAACACAAAAATGCCAACAAAAAGCCAACATCGGCTTTGGCTGAAATATGACGTAAAATGTGTTATTTCGTTTTTTCAAGGGTTTTTTCAAATTTGTCAAAATATATAATATTTGTGGTGGTACACAAGTATTAGAAATCGTCATATTTCAGCTGTCTCTGAACCGATTTTGATCAAACAAAGATGATTTTGTCATTTAAATATTATGTTCTTTCAAATTTGACACTCAGTTTTTCATTATCTCACAAAAAAATTATTTTGTGTAGCGCCCTCTGCAACAGAACTCAACTATCCCTTTTATTTGACCATTGCCAGTACCGAGTATAATGACTACTGTCGTGATCACTACCGCTTATACTACTACTACTACTACTACTACTACTACTACTGATACTACTACCACCACCACCACCACCACCACCACCACCACCACTACTACTACTACTACTACTACTACTACTACTACTACTACTACTACTTCTACTACTACTTCTACTACTACTACTACTACTACTACTACTACTACTACTACTACTACTACTATTATTACTTCTACTACTACTACTACTGCTACTACTACTACTGTTATTCATGTCATTGTTTGTTTCGATATTACAATAACAGTATTCTTTGATTATCAGTAATTTTCGAATAGCTTGTCACTATCACCGTTATTGTAAACTAAACATCTTCGATCGATGTAAGTAGAGGTTTTATAGAATACATCAAGGTTCACTTTGTTATGCTGTTAACATTTAGTATTTCAACCTCATTTTCATATCTTATTTCAGCGGCCTCGTCAACGGTAAGCGTCGACATGGGCATGGAAGCCAGATCTGAAACAAAATCACTAGTTGGTAAGAGAATACTTGTTTATTATTAGGTATGTTACACAGGGGGCAACATTCCATTGGGAGGGGGAATTTATTTCCTGGAAACTCACCCCCCCCCCCCTCCCCCTGGCTACCAACAAACTACCCTTACATGTCAACAAACTGTCAAACGGTCAACCAATTCAAAACTTGTCTTAAGACACATTTATTTAAAATTGCTTTTGATTACCGGTATTAACTAATACTCTGTTTACATTGATGTATATTTCATATGTATGATGATTAGTAGGTTTATTTGTTATTTTTTGTTTTGTTTAATATGTAATTGGTTATCATTCGTATTTTGTTTGTTATAGCGCTTAGGGACTTCGGTGGTAAGTGCTTTATAAGCTCTTTTTGTATTATTATTTTATTATTATATATAAACATTCAAATAGGGCAGGATATAATGGAAAGTGGAGCCATAATCTGACTATTTTGTTTTAAATCTAGTTCCAGTAGCAGTGTCGGTTGTCGGTGTGATCATTGTTGCGGTCCTTGCGATACTTCTGTTCATGTACTTCAAGAGAACGAGAAAAACACAGTAAGTATGATGTACATTCCCCCCCCCCCCAAAAAAAAAAAAAAAAAAAAAAAAAAAAAAAAAAAAAAAAGGACATTTTGTATGTACTCATGTGCAATTATTTTCTATTCATTGTTTTAAAGATCTGAAATGAAGCAAAAACCGACGAGTACAGAATCCAAGTTCAACAATATGAGCTACAGTATTCACAACATTCCTAACAACGAAGGGCCGAGTTACTATGAACCGAATACAATCACAGAAGGCACAGTAGGCACCGATGGTCTTATAGACAATGTTTTATACAAACCAGCCGATATTGTCCGAAGAGGTCCGAATGAATACGAACTCGATCAGGACTCATCTCAAAATCCAACTCAGTATGGACTCATTGACAATGTTTTGTACAAACCGGCCGGAAATATCCGAAGAGATCCGAATCAACACGAACGCGATCAAAGTTCAACAAATGATACCCCTCACTATGGACTCATAGACAATGTTCTTTACAAACCAGTCGAAAGTACCGAAAACACTCAGAACTTCCGACAGTTACCGAATGGTTACGATCTTCCTTCGAATGATTCCGAGTATGCCTCCCCCGACGAACAAGCATCTAGAGGTTTCCACCAAGACGGAGAACTTATTGATAATATACTCTACAAACCTGCTGACAACCAAGCGATACAAACAGGTCATGCTTCGAGAAAATACTATGAAATAAAGCCAGAACTTACTACTGGCGATTATGCAGTAGCCGATTGTCCCATTCCAGACAGGATTGTCCCGCCTGGAGCAAAATATTATGACTTCGAGCCTCAACCAGCACACTCTCGGACGCAGACCAAATTCGCTGGATACGACGCCGTACACGACATTGACGACGACGATAGTGAGCTTACGACCGATGGACGTAATGGTCAACGATTTGTAGTGCGACCAGACGATACGTCATCGATGATTCATGAATATGCCGCAGTTGATAATGATAGGGATCCTGCATCAAACTTTGCTTCTACCAACAATGGCACTACTTCTGCTGCTGTGAAGCAGAAACCTTTCCCTCGTTATGCTACTGTCCAGAAAAAGTTGTAAAACTTTTACCTCTCTGGCAAGACAAAGGTTAGATTTGATTGGTTAATTGAAAAGGCCTAAAATAATATTTCTTAATTCAAAATAATTATATTATGTTATAGTCGAAGATTTACTGCCAGTCTATTTGCTTCATTGATAAATTTGATGCAAAAAAAATCACATGTTAATTAGAAATATTGTAAAATAACATATTTGACTATAATTATCTGTACAAGGAGGCTGTAGATGCAAGCGAAATGTAACATCTTCACCAGTATACGCATATTTCCATCATTGCGTATAGGAGGCCTAAAAAAATAAATTCTCACTTATTTTACTGACCAATATGAAGAGCTTTATCTCGTCTTCGTGTATCTTTCTATATCATTGTTGTATAGCTTTGCCCAGAATAAAGATTGACCCTTGCGACACTTTCAATATAAATAATTTAATATTATATCGCTTATGTGGTTACGTGGGGGGGGGGGGGTGCAGAGATAGGGGGTATATAGCAAGTGCTCCAGGGGACAGGGCAAAGGGGACTGTCGCGTTCCCTACCCCTTCCCACCATCCGGTCGAATTGAATAATTTCAGCTGAGAGATGTCTTTTCGTGAGATAATTATGCATCTGAACGAAAAGTGATATACTCCACCCCCATTTACGTTGTGCCACCAGCACCCGCCCCCGTTTGCGGATATGACAACGTTTCTTTTATTTCTTTGTTAATATATTTAAGTTTTGTTTATCACACCGGATATTAATCTTACTACATTAAATCAAATATAAGAGATCATAACAAAAATGTATTATTTATTAAAAAATGGTTTGATGTAGGCCTTTTGAAAATTAATGGTGTCGTAAAAAACTCTAGACTTATGTCTTTGAGAGAAATTGAAGAAAGATTTGAGAAAAAACATGCTTCTTTATTTCAAGAATATTACATCATAGTAAATGCGATTCCCAAAGTTTGGAAACAGAATATGTTAAGTCAGGTACATGTAGATGATGCGACACAGGAAGAAATTGAAGGTGTCATGAAAAATGTTTTAATGAATGTTAACACTAAACGAAAGTAGAAGTTTTTCTACTCTACGTTGTCTATTTATTCAATTGTTAGACCTCCAATCGAAGAAAAATTGGAAGAAATAATAATAATAATAATATATAACATTTATTAGGCGCTTAATACAGGTGTTTCTAAGCGCACTATTGTCTGAATTAAAATTACCAACTAAAACTTGTAATAAACACAAAAAATATAAACATATTCTTTATTCAATAAATCATGCATATATAATATAGGATTTCTCGGTCACTTTCGTAAGCTGGCCACACAAATTCATTTTATGTTCATTCAATTTCGCCGATTCTGTCACCGCAGCTGTTATTTTTCGTTCAAATTCGTTTTTTAGCATTCAAATTCCTAAAACGATCATTCAAAAACATTTCATTTTCATTCAAATTAAAAGGTGTTTCTTTTTGGTAAAATTGTCATTCAATTTAAAGCGAGACGATTCGCGATTACGTAATAGCGTCTTCCGTGAATTCAAATTTGTTTCTTTGCATACAGTTTCACACGTTTTGCAGACAAATTAAACATGTACATCTTACTCAGTATGATCATATATAGAACCCCCGCAAGCTTAGTTCCATGTTAAATCCATTTCAAATTGTATGGGTTGGTAAGCAACAAACATGTTATTTGCCCTCACTATGGGTGTAAATGTATACCCACTAAATCCTCACTATTTAGCAACTGAACGATCATGTGTTAAGTAGATAAAATCTAGCCATATCAATATAGAATTAGCATGGAACTAAGCAAGAGTGTCTTTTTTATGAATATGCAATGATATAAGTACATGCAAAGTGTGTGTTTACAGACTACGGCTATATTTATTGGAGTGGCGTACCATAATGGTGGGGGGGGGGGGTGGTATCAATACTCTATACATTGGTTTATTTTTAATGTTTAGTTTGGTTATGTTTTTGATAAGTTATTCGATTTTCGTAACCTCTTTGAAGCCATTTATATTTGTGTAAATTATATTTCGTCTGTATTGAACATGTTAAGAACAATCTATGAGTATCAGTTCAATCACAATCATAATCACATCAAAATCTGAATCACCATCACACTGAATCACAATCACAATCGTAATCACCATCTCAATTACAATCACGATCACGCTACACAATCATCAATGAGTTTGATACATTGTTTTCTCACTGCGCGCACATCTCAATAGCTAATGCCATGTGGACATAAACTAAAGAATACTTACATACAATCTGAAATCTTGTTTTGGTTATATATATTTCAATGAACATAATTACATCATGCATGACATCATCATGTTCGTCTACATCATATCACTTCCAAAAGACGACCGGGTACGATAAAGTCAGTGACGAGAACATCAGTAAGATGATGTCCAATCTTTTATCTAGAGTTGTTTAACCCTCTACATGTTGATGGGCAAGACATCTAGGCATGTTATATAACTCATTTGTTTAATTTAGATGAGAAACATGTGCATATACCATGTATACCATAGGTTTGTAAAGATAGGCGAATTTGAATGAAAACTTTGTTATTTAGAATGACCCAAAGTGAAATTGAATGGTACAGACGTCCGATTTGCCATTGTTGACGAAAATGAATGCAAATTGCGCATTTGTAAGCGGTTGTTAAATTGAATGAAACAAGTGCTGAATCCATTGACCGAATAAGTAAATCAAATGAAAGAAGTGTTATTTTGAATGAAAGTTACACGCCGGCAGTTTATTTCGCGAATTTGAATGAAGTTTGTATCAAAACGAATGAAAAGCTTACGAAAGTGACCGAGAAATCCTATAGTACAGAACAAATCGACTGGAAAGTCATATGGTCATTTAATTTACAAGCTATGAAAGAAAACAAAATATCAGAATTCAATTTTAAGTTATTACACAACTTATTACCAAATAGGTATAATTTATTCAAATGGAAATTGTGTAACAATCCCTTATGTTTATATGATGATCAGTTCCACGACAATCTCCATTTATTTGCAAAATGCAAACACACAAGAATGTTTCGGTTAAAATTTGGAGACATAATTCGAAAACTTTACAATGTTAATTTTTCTTTTGAAAAGTTCGTTTTAATTGAAGGTTATAACTTGAAAAACAAAATATTTAAAAGTTTAAATTTTCTTATCATATATGCAAAATACGCAGTTTATTTAACATTTATGCAAGCAGAAAATCGCAAACTCATGGTTCATGAAGTCTCTATACTTTGTATTTTCAAAAGATTAATCCATAACCGATTAAAGATCGAAAAGTACTGTAAAACAAAACAGCTATGCATTTTTTAAAACACTCATGTTATTTAAGAAAACGAAACATGCTTTATTTGAACTATGTTAAGATGCTACGATGTTATTTCAATCGATTGTGTACGATTGTTTGATTTGTTCAAAAGCATATATTTATCAATAAATTCATTTTTACAAAAAAAGAAAAAAGTTCCAATACAATGAAAAGAAAAAAAAACGGAAAAATACCCAACTATCTGCGGGTGAAAGGTTGAATAGAAAGGGTGTGAAGGACTCGCAACTTTACATTACATCCTGCATGGGGTTGCATTAAAGGTGTGTGTTCAGCAATATTCTCTTTAATGAGAGTATTTAACATTTGAATTTCTTGTTACATAAGTAATGACCCTGCCCCCCACTCCGGGGTCGGAAGTACCGCATGCGTGTTCCCAAAATGTCCGGTAAAGGGGTACTTTGCACGCACCAAAGTCCGGCTCGTGGTACACAAAAATCCGGCCCGTATCGACTTTACACACCGGACTTAGGGGGGTGTTTAAAAAAAAAGGGAACACGCATATGCGTACCCTAAATATCACTGAGTTGGGGGGGGGGGGGGGGAGTAATGATTGATGCTGGTATGAATTATAATAGTTTGCTTGCTTAGAATAACAAAAAGTGATTGATTTTAATATTGTTATAATTATGTTGATGATTGGTCTCTTTAAAAGTAAAGTGTCTGCTCACGTGATTTCCAGTTGTGTCTTTTCCATTTCTGCCTTCCAAATAAGTTGCCATCAAAAATGTGTAACACACATTGATGTTACAAAAAGAAAGAAGCTGAATCGTGTCGTTCATTTGTTTTTGTTTAAGAAAAAAACACATATGTGAAGTAAATTTGTGATAAAATATGTTACCATATATAACAATATTTGGAGGGTGTGCTGAAAAGAATACCTGCGAACCCAACGTTCGGATGACGCTAATAATGTATATAGCATAAGTACTGTATTGATCAATACTGAATTGTTTTTGTCTTTACACGTTGAAGTATTTTTCTTCCATGAGTATTAATGATTCACCTGGAAATCAGGGGAATATCCGGAAAATAATAAAAAATAATAATAGGCATTTCTATAACGCCGTCTATCTGGAATTCTATTCCGAGGCGCACTTTATAATTACCCCGGCTCTAGCCTAGCTGCCATTACACCGCTCTATGCATTTCAAGGAATTAATTCCTGCCCGGTGCCTATTTACCTCACCTGTGTGGCAAATGAAGATTAATGCCTTCCCAAATGACATTAGTGTCTTTTTCCTTCAGTCAGAAAAAATTCGGAGCATTTGAGAAAATTCTCTTGAATCAGTAAAAATCAGTAATCCGGGAATTTCATCTCAATCTCAAGTGGAAGTAGTATAATAGTGTCAAAATTTCTGTACTGTAAATTGTGCCGTTGTACTTTCAGCTACTGCTGAAAAGGTTTCAAGCTGGGAATAAATCGAAATAACGTTTAATTGGAAATGGTTACCACCTGGAAGAAAACGGAGTAGTAATGGCTGAAATAAGTAGATGTTATAGAAATGGCTGCATTTGCTTCAAAATACTTTTTGAAGCAAATGCAGCCATTTCTATAACATCATTTCTATAACATGTACAATTATTGTACATGTACATGGTGTAGATCAAGGTTATATCGATGCGCATGACTTGTGTTCATTTATGTTTCAATATAAATGCGTGAATTTGTAAAGAATTTGTTATCTCTGAAAAATGTAAAGAAAACGATGGATTTGTTTTGTAGTTATTGTTTGTGGAATGTGGATGCAATGTTAATGTGACTTCAAAGTCTCTACTTTTTGGTACAAAAGAGCGGCTATTATTTTGCAGCAATGTTGTGTACTTTACTTGATTGGGCCTTTTTAAATAAAGCGATTCTTCTGTACTAGTACTAATCATATATTAATTTGATTCGTTATGATAACAAAATAAAGATGATTTCAAGCGGGAAAAAAAATCTTGCTACATTGTTTTATTGTTGTTACAAGTCACTCTAAATTTTCTTTTGTAGATTTAACTCAGGCTACATGATGTTTCCATATTTTATTTGACATTATAAACAATTTTCCCTCTTACTGCTTAAACATTTCCGAAATTACGCTGTTAAACTCGTTTATGTTAACTTTTTATTTCCGTTTGAAGATCATATTAATAGTTGCAAGCACAAGCATCCAAAAGTAACCACATTGCAAAAACAGCAATAATCATAAACTGGCCATGTCGATAAATTTGATAGACCTTCCTTCAATAAACGGTCTCAATTCAAGCATGAGATTAATATTATTACATCGAGAAGCAAATGTCATCCATTCATTTGATATTTGATATACTTTACTTACTTTATGAGAATTTTGTTGCAATTATAGCTGTGCTCATGTTGGTTATCTAAGTGGGATGCTAACTGCAATAGGCCGTGCAAATAACCCCATTTAACTTGAGCAAAATTGCGTCTTTAGTTTGTTTTATAATCCCCTGTGTACAAATGCAGTGGCACGCATGCATGCACCATTATGTAACAATAAACGACATATTGTAGCTTACAGAAATAACCCTTATCAAAATACAAAAGCTTATTACAAAGGCTTTCCTGGTTGGGGATGTTTAGGGTTTGAAGCCTCCTTGATATGCTAACCCCCCCCCCCCCCCCTCCACAAAAAGGTTTGGGTTTAGAGACAGGGAGGGGAGAGAGGGGGTGAGGGGAAGAAGAAATAGTGAGTGTGTGAGAGAGTAAGAGGAGAAAGAGGGGAGGGGGTGAGAAGGGAGAGAGAAAGCTAATTCAGGTATTACGGCAAATTTGTGACTTTTATAGCAAAATGCTTCTGAAAAATGGAAAAGTAGATAGATCACTACACGGACCTTTGCTATAAGCTGTCATACTGTCAGTTACCTGATGATATTTAATTTTTGTTAATGTTAAATATTGTATGCAAACTTAAGTTGGGCTTGGTCTTGGAGACCCAATCGATGCCACTGTACCACACGCAATGGTTTCAAACCCTCCGATCTTAAATAAAATTCCTGAAATAAAAATAGTCAATGAGCTTCTACACTTTCTTTATACATTCCTTACATCAAACTAATAATTTAATAAACCAACCTTTCTATGAGGAGAGAGAGAGAGAGAGAGAGAGAGAGGGGGAGAGAGAGAGAGAGAGAGAGAGAAAAAGGGAGAGAGAGAGAGAGAGAGAGAGAGAGAGAGAGAGGGAGTGAGAGAATCATTGGTATAAGAAGGATAAGCGTATTATCTCTTTGGACAACTTTGAATGGAATCCGTTTTTGGTGGAATAATGTACAATGCGGACCCTATAGCCATGGGCCTTGGTAGAGAAGGTGGTGGGGCTTGGCATCCCCTCTCATTAAAGCAAATGAATATCAAAGCCTTGTCAGCAAAACAACCCCCCCCCCCCCGAAAAAACTCTTTTCATTGTTGGAAATTTTTGTAGCCTAAAATTGCGGACAAAATTAATCTGGTCTGCCACAGTAAGAGGACACCTTTTTTTTTTTTTGGTATCGAAATTTGAAAATTTGACATTTTGCTCCGTTTGGGGGGGGGGGGGTAAGGTCATCTTTTTGAGGTCAGCCATGGGAATTTTTTTTTTTTTTTTTTTTTTTTTAATATAAAAAATCCAAAAGGGGGGGTTTTAGGGAAATTTAGGGGGGGGGGGGTTACACACAAAAAATACCAAAGGGGGGGTTTAACCCCCCCCCCTCCCCTGTGTACGCGCCTGCCCTGAACAATAGGTATTAAGTAAAGATATACGCCACTGGTTACAGACCATAGTCTGTTAGTCAATTTGGTTTTACGACAGTAAATAAATCAAAAGTATTTATAACAAGACGTAACTTTTAACTTGCTACTGAATCACATGTTGAATGCTGAGGAAATCACTTTCTGTGCAGCTACTGCGTTGATAAAAACACATTCATACCTGCTCTGTATCTTGGAAATTAGGCCAATGCATTATCAAAAGTGATTTTCGGTACCAGTACAGTGTTTTATATAGTATTCAAAAGACATAGGAAGCACCATGAAGGCATCTTATTTCATCCTTGTGGTGTTTCTGAAATTATGTTTCTTGTTCTCTTCAGATGGCTACATCTTATCATCCTGTAAGTATTTAATTGTGTCAAAATTATGATCTTTTTATTTTTCCTTCGAATATAAATATATCAAATGGCTTATAAAGATGGAGATAATTATGTGATAATATAGGAGGACGTGCATTATGTTGCCATTTGGTTAAAGATTGCGCCTTTCAATGTCTCCAAGTAGAGCCATTTTTAGGAAAGTTTGGCCAACCCGGTTCGAATTTGGCTTGGGCACATTATGGCAAAAACTGCTTTGTGGCAAAAACTGCAAGCAAAAGAATATACACCATGATACCAATTAGAGTTAAGTTGGCCAAACCCTGTGTGACTCCAAATTTATTAACGCCATTATACGATCATTTTTTTCTTCTCCATATTTTTCCCTCCACAGGGATTTTATTGATTTTCATTTGAAACAAATTAACTAATATATATTCAAGGTAATTTACACTTATAACATAGATAAAATTGGCTTCTCAAGATGCAAGTATTGTTGAACTGTTGAGTTAACAGAAAACTAACAAATCAATAATTCATTTCTGATATTCATGGAAAGAAAAAAAATACAGAAAAAATATCATTTTAAGTAAACAAATTCCTGAATTGAAACCATTTTCTTGTGAATTTGTTATTTCTACGATTCGAATTTGCAATATACTTTTCGTTTTTGAAGTAATTTATAATCGAAACTCTAATATAATCAAAGTCGGGCAATTGTTTCTTTATTTTGCAAGTATACACCATCTGTTGCACCACAATCAGTTTACAATTCAATGCATAATTATTTTAACCTCTTAAACCAAATAATTTATCTTGTAATGAAAATGTTAATTTATTTCCGGTTCCAGTATAAATCCAGTGCTCTAACCTATCCCAAATATGTTTTACATGCGTACAATCACATAGCAGATGTACAACTGTTTCAATCTGTTCATTAAAAAATGTACATTCTTTCTTGGGACTAAATTCATTTTAAACAGTAGATCGTTCGTATATAATATGCGTTGCAAAACTTTAAACTGAAACCATCGTAAGCCCACATCAATAGTACAATTACATCCAATAGAACAATATCTTTCCCAACTCTTATCATTCAGGTCGAAAATGCATTTCCATTTAAGAAAACTTTTATACGATCATGATTAAGCGTATTCGATTTTATTCCATCTTAACTACCGAACAAAGAGTTAATTGCTTGAATTCGAACGTTAGAGTAGTCATTGTAATGTGATTTCTTCATCATTTACATCATTTTGCACGTGGGTACTCCTGTCTTTAATATTATTACTAAACTGGAAGAAGTTTTAAAAATTTGCTCTCATTATCACACATAATTATTATCAAAGATTGGAACCAGCTAGCTTGGCTTTTGCATTGCTCATCGAATTCGATTTTTAGGTCTTGACCCCTTAATTTTATTTTTTCTGTCGACATTCTTAGATTCATTTTTCTATCGTTCATACTCTTCGTGCTTGTACCATCCTATATCTCTATGAACTGATACAACATGAAGTATACATTTCGGGAGGGGTCGTCCAGTATCAACCATCGTACACTATAATAACAAACGTTTCGTGGCCTTTTATTACAACGCATTCAGCCAATATGATACACAACTTACGTCATTGCTTTACTTTGGGCCCGTATAATAGATAGTATGAAGGCAAGGTAAGCAACTTGGTCTTTATTTCCTTGTCTAATAATGGGAGGAAATGGCCTCGATTTAAGGATTAGGCCAACCTACAATGACCGGCAAAAGGTCGACACACTACACCGAACACGAAATATGTTCGTTTAACAAGAAAGGCTATACACTGCATGACTTCAACAGTTTTTACAGAACTTTAACTACCAAAAGGATATCAAGATGGTATCGAAAAGCAAAATTTAATTACGAGTACTCTTTGAATCATTAGTTCTTACTGATTATTACTCCAAAATAGTTATAAATAATTTCCCCCTAGCAACACCCTCCTCCCGCTCTAATAACCACAACCCTAATGCCTTTTTGGAAGCACCATTTACTATTCAGACATACCAATATACAGCGATAACATTATCAGAGGGCCTTATCCTTTCTCATGGGCTTTTTTCTAATTCTTTCTATCCCCAGTTCACTTGGTTGACGGTAACTCCCCAAACGAGGGCCGTGTTGAAGTCACACTAAGAGATGATGATGGGTACAATCTGACAGGCATTGTGGTATCTGATGATAAATGGACAAGAGATGCGGCAAAATGGGTTTGCGAGGAGCTAGGCTACCTCAACGCAGCATTTGTCCCGGATGATAATAGATTCGGAAGAGGCTTGCAGTCAGGGATTTTTAGTATTGACAAGATTTTTAGTATTGACAACCGGACGTTAGGTAAAGTATTCGAGACAGGTTATGAATTCGTTATGTGATTCCTCTAAAAAGTATTTATACCTTTGAAAGTTTAGATAGATGGGGAAGACAGAGAGATAGATAGAGAAAGAGAGAGAGAGAGAGAGAGCGAGAGAGGAAGGGAGGGAGAGGGGGAAAATAGTATAATAAGTGTACAGTGTACGGGCAAACTGAAGATAGCTGTCAGCTTTACAATCTGCAGAAGATGGCAGATTAGCAATCGCCGCGTCATTAACGTCAGACATCATTCTGTGCGCCAAACTTTTTGCTCATGGATTTTCTTTTCATCCAAATAGCATCGTGAAATCAAATCACCCTAATGAGGTTGTTCGACAATAATCATAGACAGAATAAAGAGCATTGATGTGAAAGGTCGTTTGGCAAAGTAATCTTCGTCCCAAATCAATTAATTGTCTTATAGCACTCACCATACACCTTTTCATAAATGTGAATGTTTCATCTTTATTTTTTTAAATTTTAGTTGAACCTGAATGCAACTCAAACAAATCAGACAATTGCAGCGAGATCGGAGCAGCCGGTGTAATATGTCAGAGTAAGTAGCCTGTATGTCAGCCACCATCATTTAAATGTATCCTTCATTTTTGCGGGTAAATTGGCATGAATGATTGTTCAATTATATTAAATTGTTTTAAGCAGTGAAAACATTAAGAAGTTACTTTGCTAAACAACTCATTGGTGTATCGATCGAATAACAGCCAAGGTTGTAGAGTATCATGCGTTTATCAGAAGAGATTTGAATGGGGAAAAGAAGTAAAACGTTAAAAGTTGAATGATTCAGTGTGTTGAATGAAAAGTGTGTGTAAGTGTATATGTGTGTGTAACAGAAAGAGCGAGTAAGAGAGAACACTACTGTTTAAAGGGACTTTGTAACATTGTTCAGATGAGAGATAGTGGTGCTAAGGTAGTGACTTCAATGCTGGATGTACAATTAAAGATAATCTGGAAATTTGAGTGAAAACGGATCATTATTCATGGCACAAATTGGAAAAAACTGATCTGATCGATTCCTTAATTCTCCCAACTATATTATTCTACTTCTATTCTGCTACTTTTCAAAGCCTGTTCAGCATCACGACAAGGACAATTTAATTACATTTTAGGTGAATGTAAATCGTCACAAAGCAATACAATGGCTCTACATTCCATTCCAGACATTTAAGTGTTGACAGATTTTTATAGCCTGTTTTATGTATTTTTCTCATGGAAAAACGGTTGGGAAAATTCAAAAATGGTTGGGAGAATTTACTGTTATTCACTGTTAGAGGGTGTCTCACATCGACTCCTTCAAAGAAAACCATAGATATCTTTGTGGTTTGAGAACTTGTTTAGGATTTTTTGCATGTCAGAGGGTTAGTATAGTAGAAGGAATATAGTAAGTAACATTTTATACAAAAATTAAGCAAACTTTTTCATCAACCATCAACAATGTTACCGAGTCACTTTAAAACCCTCAAACGGTTTCAACTATTAAAGATAAACTTGAGTTCTGGTAAAAAAAGAAAATGAATTCTCACAGAATCTAACGAAACTTACACTGAATATTCAAGATTACAAATAAATGTCATGTGCCAAACAATTTTGGAAGAAAATGTATACTGGCTGGGTAATGAGCATAGAAAGATAAGGAAATCAGGGTAGTACTAGCCCCGACACCATGTGTGTTGTCCCATATACATCTTTCTGTGTAAGTGATTGTTACTTTACTAAAACTCTGCCAAATTTGTGATGATTTTGATGACTCCAGAACCTTGCATTACACACCATTACTTACATGCTATATGATCAACTTTTCTGATCCATTCCACACCTTTTCTTTCACAATGCAATCGCATTACAAGAACTCAAGTTTATCTTTAACGTATTCTATTTTATCTTCTACAGAACCTGGATATTTAGGATGCTATCAAATTCGTCCTGTGGTGTTCTCACAGATCAATATAACAGAGACGAGCGAAGTAGGGAACAACGACAAATGTCTGGAGTTTTGTAGGAACAAGGAGGATATTACAATTATCGAGTTTCTCTTTGGTAGGAACCTGCCAGCCCTATATACTGCACAAAGTGGAGATACCTGTTATTGTTTGAATAATATTTCCGAGTCATTTCAAAAGCGCGTGTGTAACACTAGATGCAGTGGAGATCCAGAGCAATTTTGTGGACGAAAACAACCAGATTCCTATATTGTCTTTAATGGTAAGCATGAAATCCTTTGACTATTATTGGATCCGCCAATATAAGAAAAAAGGGGTATCTATATGGATAAAGCGGAAAACAAGTTTTCCTGCTTTACGTCGGCATAAACTATTTTTCTGCCGCCCTTGAAAAATGATTAATAATTTTAATATTTTATTTGAGGACCAGAACAGACGATTTAAAGAAACAAGTTATATTAGATATGTTGCTATTTGATTTGAACTATTATGTTCCCCTATAACTCTGATATCAAGTTGGTTTCAATAGAAGCAGAAAATGAGAGAAAGTTTGAGCAAAATCCGATTAAAAATAAGACAGTTATGAATTGTTGAAGATGCGATCTATTAAACACATATTGGGAACTCCGTGACGTATTTTGCGAGCCCCCCTCCAATTTCCCCTGTACTAAAACTTCGAATAAAATATATTTTCCCTTAAGAGAATTTTCAATTAGTACATTCACCTTAAATATAATGTTTTTAAATACCCCCCTGTATGGAACTAATCTGTTTCGTCATCGACAAATTAAAGTTTATGTAATATTCTGTACAGAGCAAATTGGAGAGGAGCTCGCAAGATACGCCATAGTATTGCCAATTTGTCTTTCCCCGATGACAACTCCAGACATGCAATACGTTTTTATTTCTAATCGGATTTTACTTAAACATTCACTCACCTATTTCTCTTAATTTTCCGCTTCTATCGAATCCAACCAAATATCAGGGTGGACTCCCCCTTTAAAAGGCCCCCTCATAAAGGCAAAGTTACAATGTTGTTACAATATATAGATTCTTTCGATTAGGATTGAAACAACAAATCATATACTTTCTCAGATAAAGATATTCGGCTATTTTCTTCACCACAAAAATATAAAACCTGAAAAGTAAAAACTGTGGGTACGAACACTAAATATTGTCATCACTAATAATACTCGATTACACTACATGTATGTACAGCTTTTATGTGATATGCTTTTGCAGCTTCTACAGGATACTGCCCCGAGATCTCCGGCGTCAATTTGAACGTGTCTGGAAGGAACCGATTTGGTGACATAGTGAGGGCGAACTGTAGTGGTGGATCACAACTGATGGGCGATGATGAACTGCAATGTCTAGGTGGTCCTGATTTCTTCGAATGGAATGGGACCGTCCCTACGTGTAGAGGTATGACTCCTCCCACTTCACCTCTTTTCAAGGGTTTGCCTCAGAATGAAAATGCCGTGAAATGTCTTTAAAATACTATTCTATGATAACAAAATGCTTATATTTTGAACAATTGCAAATAACCCGAAATATATTATAATAGAATTAAATAAAAAAAAGGTTGGCGAAAAGTTAAAATAAGTAAATCTGGCCGTCTAGTGAATTGGGACTTGAATTTGTTTGAAAGTTTTCACTGATTAAAAAGTAAATATTTATTGATTGTGAAAAAATAATTATTCCATAAGTCAAGTACCAGATAAACCTTCTTCAGCTTCTTAATATTACCTTTAATGAACAGAACCAGTTTCTGTTTTTAAAACTGGGGCAAAACTTAAAAACCGTCCATCGAGAACGTGATAGTGGGCACACTTAAAGTGGTGTTATATACCCCTTTGTGTTTTGTATTATGTGCTCTTTTGATGTATACATTGGCATGGATTGCATATCTTAATACAGATCAAGAAACAACCACCAATGAACCTTCAACGGAACGCACAAGAATGACAATAACACCTGCCACCCGTAAAGTTACAAGGAGTGATGAACAAGGTACAAACAATATACTTTAACTTTAAAATTAATGCTGATAATATTGTTCTTCTGGTACTACTGCGCCATGAGCGTCATACTTGACGGACCGAGGCCACCATTGTTATTATTATCATTATTATTATTCATACAACTGCTGCTGTTGCTGTAGCTACTACATATTGTACTACTGCTACAACTACATTGGATTCAATGAATGTTCACTCTTCAAGTCATATACAACCTGTCTCACTGAGCCCCCGCCTCTACCCCAATCCCTTTCTCCCCACCCCTCCCCTCTCACTTTGCTTCTCTCTATATCTCTCTTTCTTTCTTTCTTTCTTAAAGCCCCTCTAAAGTGTTGGGAGCCCAAACAATTTGATGGCAACATTTCACCTAAATTGTATCATAATGTGAAATACATGTAGGATGTCATTTAAAACATATTTCTGCAAGGGTTTTCAAAACAAATGTGTTTGAATTCGAATATTGATCAGAGAGTACAAAATTGAGGTTTTCTGCGTACAACAGAAACCCCCAAATTATGTATTCTTTTATTAATATTTGTCTTCAACACACTACAAAATCATTGCAGAAGTATGTCTTAAAGGTATAGACCAGTTTTGGAAACGTTCCTCTGTCAAAAAATGAAATGTAAGCTCTTATTACCAATCATGTAAAAGAATATGATTTGAATAATACGTGATGATACAAATTTTGCCGGGAAACCGCCTACTGATATATTTGGTAAGTTATTATATCCATCCGGACTGGATAGATATCGCGTAATCCCACATCTTTCTGTGTACAGTGCTTGTAACTTTACTAAGACTGGGCCAAATTTCTTATCATTTTGATGATTCCAGAACCTTGCAGTACACACCAATACGTATATGCTAGATGATCAACCTTTTCTAATCGATTCCACAACGTTTCTTTCACAATCGCATGACCAGAACTGGTCTATACCTTTAAATGACATCCTCTTTCAAACTATGATACAATTCAAGCCTTCACATTTTTTTGCGAATTTGGGCACCCAACACTTAAGAGGGGCTTTAAAGTGACTCGGTATTCGGTAACATTGTTGAAGGTTGATGAAAAAAAAATTGCTTAATTTTTGTATAAAATGTTACTTACTATATTCCTACTACTATACTAACCCTCTTACATGCAAAAAATCCTGAACAAATTCTCAAACCACAAAGATATCTATGGTTTTCTTTGAAGGCGTCGATGTGAGGCACCCTCTAACATTGATTAACAGTAAATTCTCCCTACCATTTTTGAATTTTCCCAACCGTTTTTCCAGGAGAAAAATACATAAAACAGGCTATAAGAATCTGTCAACACTTAACTGTCTGGAATGGAATGTAGAGCCATTTTATTGCTTTGTGACGATTTACATTCACCTAAAATGTAATTAATTGTCCTTGTCTTGATGCAGAACAGGCTTTGAAAAGTAGCAGAATAGAAGTAGAATAATATAGTTGGGAGAATTAAGGAATCGATCAGATCAGTTTTTCCCAATTTGTACCATGAATAATGATCCGTTTTCACTCAAATTTCCAGATTATCTTTAATTGTACATCCAGCATTGAAGTCACCTTAGCACCACTATCTCTCATCTGATCAATGTTACAAAGTCCCTTTAATGCCTACTCCGTATGTTTTAATCAATATACGTGATTTGATTTCACTGTTATTAATTATTACGGATCGGTAGTAGTCTTATCGTGTCTGCTTATACACTTTTCACAGTTTCTTTAATTAATAATATCTGGTTTCAGATTCAGATGACAAGAACATGGACATGAACATGAATAGCTCCGGCGGCTCACAATCTGCATCTGGTAAGAGTTCAAAAGTGATGATGGATGATGATTTCGATAAGGATATAATCTCTGTATAATAATATACGCTCTATATTTATAACCAACATCAGAGCTATTCACTTTTTATGTGCGTGTGTATTAAACATAGTAGAGTGTGTCCCCCCCCCCCCCCCCCCGCTGGTGGGTTAGTGACCCGCTCAAAGGGGTGTGCTCATTCGTGGCTTCATCATAATGATTTACTCCCTGTACTCGTATATAGACCAGGGGCCTTTCCCAAAAGTGTATCCCTCCAATCCAACAAGATTTTACCCTTTCTATTATTTAGATTATCTAAACATGTTGGTTTCGTAGATTGTCGGTCTGGCATGTACCCAAAGTTACGTCACCCTAACCGTATAAGAACCAGGTGTAGCCCCAAGAACCCCCTCCCCCCCCCCCCCCTCTCCCTTTAAAAAAAAAAGATCCCCAAAGTCGGGTCGATTATACCCCTCTTGCCTATGGACCAAATTTTAATAAAATGAAAATGGTAGGCCTGAACTTAACAACACATGAAAAACCGTTTTTATCTTCAAAATATCCGTTGGGAAGACATTGGAAGTCACCCCCCCCCCCCCCCGCCCAGGTTAATACTTTTTTGTTTCTTATTCTTTTCCAGTTCCGATAGGAGCGTCTGCAGGGTCTGCTGGGATTGTTGCAGTCTCGGCAGCCTCTATAGCTGCGTACATCAATAAAAAGAGAAAAGCAGGGTAGGTATAATGGCGTCAATATATTACCACCTTGTATACGCAATCCATGTAAGTCCAAAATAATCACTGTACAGGTTGGGAATTTTGTCAAGGTAATTTATCAGTAAATAGACAAGAAAACATCGATAAACAGGTCACACAGCGGCCTACAGGGAGATTAAGTTCAAGTTTCGTAAATGTCCCAACTGTCCCAAGTCCTAATAATATTTTTAAAAGAAAAGAAGAGACTGAAACACAAGGTCTAAATATATGGAACATTGATTGATAAGTTTGATAATTTATTTGTGGTATTTAATTGAGGCCCTATTTCCTTTTATTTATGCAGGTCTAAATCCAAGAGCGTTCCGAACAACGAAGAGCCGAGTGAGAATTCAGTCACCGAAGTGACCGAACCAGCCGATGATGTCCGAAAGGATCCGAAACAGTCCGAACTCGATCAAAGTTCACCGAATGATACACCTCACTCTGGACTCATAGAAAATGACTACAAAGTTTTCGATGATTCATCACATGATAACCCTGCATTCGACGACGACATTCTGCAATTCACAACGATTACGATCTACCATGAAATAATCCCGTATCCATTCCCCATCGGTCATGAACATAGCGGTGAACACCAAGAAGCCGGAGAGATGATTGATAATGTTCTGTACGAACCTGCTGATAACCAAACGATACAGACGGGTTTTGCAATTCAAAACTGCTCTGACATAACACAAGATTCTGTCGATATCCATTACTCAGACGTTGAATTATAGTCCAATTTCAGACACGGGACCAAGATAGTGCGACATCCACCCACAACCTGCCCATTCTCCGCCGCGAAGCAATGTAGATGATAACGACGCTGGGCCTGGGCCCGGTAAAACTGACCTCGCGACTGCATGCTGAAGGTCCAAGAATTGATGTCAGCACCGAAAATACACCTGAATATGCGACAGTCAACGAGGGCTATGAATCGGAAGGAGATTCTGACAATTCTGCCGCTGTGGGGCAAACATCCTTCCCAAATTACGCTTCTGTTCATAAATAGCGATAAATAGTGAGTTCTCTCACTGGATTTAATGCTGATTCTGTTCTGGATTCAGAATTACGCTTATAACAATTATTGTAAGCACTTTAAAATATATCGTACATGTATAATATATAATCATGTTAACCCTAGTTATCGCATTCTTGTAAGTAAACAATGTTCGGACAGCTACACGACACACTTGCTCCAGCGACATTTGCTTCCTGGTAATTTCCTATAATAATCGAATACCTAACTTCTACCCTGGACCCAACACTAAACCTAACATTAACGCCAAAGGTAAACCATATCTAAATTCCATTTACATCATTTAAGGGACTTATTTATAGCCCTACTTTTGGGTCGAGAGGAGATCAAATGTCTTCTTTAAGGAAATTATGGTTTGATGAATTAAAAGAAATACACGATTTTTACCTTTTCTTGTTTATATGATTACACCCTTACAAAATTTAAAGACCACTTTGATGAAAATCAATATTTAAAGGTACTATGTCCCATTTGCAGGCCAAAAAAATGAAAAAGTTAAATTCCAACTGCATTTGAAAGATAATACTAATTTAGAACTTCCCTAAAAAAGGTGGGGCTTGAAAATGTCTTCAAGTGGGAAAATAACAACTATTCGTTGTCAAATCGACTTTAAGGCTATAGAGCCCAAAAGTAATAGTCTTGATTTTCAGACAATAACCGAATGGTCATACGTTTTATGCTGCGCAAAGATTCAATCAGTTTAATCTTGGCCATCACAAGAAGTGGGTTATTGATGTAGACAAATGCTCATGTACCCTTTACAACTCTTTTCATGTATGTTATTACCAAAGAAGAAAAAAAAGCCAGTCAGTCACTCAATAGTGTCTGACAGTAGAGTCTAGCAAGTAAATGGGTTTCCTTGCATAATTTGAATATGAGGACACTGCTAACGTTTAAATTTCACAGATAGGACGTACATGACATATTTATAATTCCTGCAAAGTTCTACAGAATTTGAGGTTGGCTGCAAAAGGGACATAGTACCTTTAATCAAGAGCTAGATCAATTATCCTCTTGGGCATTGTGTTATACTGCCCTCTTTAGATATTTTCACGGGTGTTGCGTGGTGTTTGGAAATCACTTATATTCGGCCGACTCACATATCCCAGGGGCAATTCCAAACACCAAGTGGATTTCTAATGCTCTAATCCATATCATATCCATATATTCGTAATTGTGGGAGAAAAAATTGTTGTCCAGTGATAATAAATTGTGAGAAAGAAATATTCTGTGCCGTTAATTTGGTATTTGTCTTTATTTAAAAAAAAACAATGTATGCTACATGCCTAGCGTTGGGTTCGGAATATCTGTTGAAAGTAGAAAGGGTAATTGTGCAATTTGATAGTTTTTATTGTAAGATTCATTCAATTCAGTCGGCAAACAAAATACACGTGTAAATTAAAGAGGATTAAACGATTTGTCAGATTTAATTGATGTTACGTGTGACAAGTGGGAATTTGAAGTTTACGCTTTATGTACAAATAAATTGGTACGTAATATTCTAATCGTTTGAATCGACCTTCTCTTGAATGCCATAATGAATTGGGTTTTCCGATAAGCAGTTTGTATAGTGAGAGTGACTTTTATAAAGAAGATTAATTTCGGTTTAAATTGGTTGATAAAGTCTCTGAGAAATATAGGAAAATGCCAATATTCTGCCAATATTTGTCAAACCTACTGATCCCAAATTAAAAGCAGAAATGTGTATCAAACGTGTGAGTTGAAAATATTGTTGTATTTCATTTTTTAGGAGGTGTAACTCCTATTTCAACGGCTTGATATATAAAAGCTTATGTATAAGTTGCATGAATAAGTTCATTGGGCATTTTGGGTCGAGATAGGAGTTGGAGGGCTCGAATTATCTTCATTTCACGCTGACTTCCCTTTCCGCTAGGCTTTCTTTCTCCCGCCCTCGCACACACACACACACACGCATACATGTAAACGCCTTCAATCGGGGAGGTAGGCAAAACACCATGAAACTGTGGAGGTAATAAATATAGGCTTTATAAGCAATATTTTATCAAATTTGAGGAAAGAAAATCACAATAAGCCCATTCCAATGTCAAAAGATACTAAAAAACGTTTACTTCTTCTTACACATGATTCGTCTGAATTTGAGCTATGAAAGTGCGGTGTCTGCATCTAGTCATTGTCAATCGGGGAAGTAGGCATAAGACCTAGCAAACGTGGAGTTTGTCGATTTTTATCTTTTCCTTGTAAACTTCGAATTAACTCATGCAAAAAAGGATATTATTATGTTTGCTTGTATTTAAAACAATGAAGGCAATACTGTCTTTCAAATCTTAATTTCCACAATATAATATCAATCTTAGAAACAAGAGTTATGGTCAACAGTTGACCGTTGTGTATCATGTAAAAAGTCTTGATAAATATGATCTTGATTTACTGTATGGAAGCCAGTGGCGGATCCAGCCGGCGGGAAGAGGGGGGGGGGGGGGCCAATCCGTGAGAAAATATTAGTTGCGACTCAGCCGTCGGTGAATAAGCGGGGGGGGGGGGGGGGGTAGGAAGCATTTTTTTGGGGTGCAATTTTTCAGGAAATATTTTGCGCCGACTTAGTCAGCCGGTGAATAAGCGGGGGGGGGGGGGGGGGGATGAGACCACTATTTTTTTGTGTGACCTAATTCGTGAGATTTTGTTGTTGTTGACCCGTCACCCCCCCCCCCCCCCCGTGGATCCACGCCTGCAGAGGATCCAGCCGGCGTCAATGGGGGGGGGGTAGCCAAATCTTAATACAAAATTTAGTGCCGTCTCAGCCGGCCGGCGAATAAGCGGGGGGGGGGGGGGGGGATGGGGCGCTTTTGTTTTTTGTTTTATAAAGGTTAACTTTACGTTATTATCCTTTTTTTTTATCGTTTTGGGGGGCTGGGGGGGGGGGGCCGGGCCGGAAAAATCGCTACGTGGATCCGCCCCTGATGGAAGCCATTACAAATGTAATCCTAGGAATCCCAACATCAGTTCCACTTACTCAGGTTCAATAAAAATGTTGGCTTAGCTTTTATCAGTGTCAAGAGATCAAGGTAATTTAAAGGGATTGCCCATGAACTGTCACACTATATTGTGTGGCTCAGAAAGAAAGAAAACTGGATATTTCCAATTACAATGACATAATGACTCAAAGTTGATGATCTTGACATCATTTTTTATCATTTCGAAAAAGAATGATCTTCTTAATGAAGTAAGAATTAGGTCAATGATGAAGTTGTAATTGTAGATCCCAGGTGTTCCGTTCTTTCTAGCCCCCCCCCCCCCCCCCCCCATGTATATAAAAACCATTATTCTATCATAGGGATATTTTTGTTTTCGGGGGGAGGGGGAAGATTTCGGCAATTCAAGGAAAGAATACAATTCATATTTGTAAATGTTTTTAAATTAATCGTTATCACTAGTGGTATAGAGTATGGATTAATATCATTGCTTCTTTGTATGAGATTCCTTTTGTTCTCTTACTATCATCAAAATATGTTTGTAACATTTATTCTTTTCTTATACATGTTTGCATTTTGACGTATCGACTTGTGAAAATGTTATGTTTTGTGAATAACGTTTATGTCTTTTGAAGAAAGAAGACACATATACAAAATAAAGATTGAGCTTGTTTGTACTATATTGCGTACTGATATGTCTTCATTATTTTAACTGTAAGGAATCACTATATCGCAAATGATGTTACAGTGCTTGCACACGTTGAAATTATTAATAGATAAGCTGGGAAAGATATAATGAAGGAAATTAACTTTAATAATTCCACTGTACGTACCAACGGAACTTAATGACACCACCACACAAAAAGTTTGCAAAACTTTCTCCTGTGCTCCTCTCTTTCTCTCTCTCTAACTATATCTTCATTCAATTTAAGGACGAAACTGTCATCTTTTTCAACATGTTTTAACAATTCCTCGATCAATGTGGTATCAAACCACTTTCCCTGAATATTTTCTTTCCTTTCATCCTCGAATTCTATTAAATTCTTTAACACACCTCCTGCAAACATATACATACTTGCCACTATAAAATTGGATATAATTACAGTTTTAAAACTATGCAGTATTATCTAGCAAATCATTTTCTTTCTTAATTTTAAAATATGACTTATGTTAAAGAGGGAAAACAAAAATCACAGAATTATCATGTTATTTCTATAAATATCTCATACACCAGCAGGTGTATTGTACTACAGAGGAAAAAGACGAGATAGAATCAAATAAATGCCAATTGTAATAAACAATAGTTTATCTTCTTTGAATTTCTGTAAAATATACTTTATTTCGATACAATTATTTGACAGTCTTCAAAGGCACATGCAAATCATGAAATTTACAAGAGACAAGTTTAACACGTCCAGCGATGATATGCAATTAGGAGTTAAGTCCGAACGTGTACATAAAAAGGGCATTAGTACCAATCAATACAATTGAACCACAGGAATTGCACCACATTTGCAAAAATCTACAGATTAAACATGCATGTAGTAGAAAAATGTCTTATAATTGTGATTACGAATAAAGAATTATTTCTAACATCACCTGGGTAAAAGAATGGTGCAATATTGTGAAGTTGACATTGCCACAGAAAATGAGGTTAGAATACAAACGAAGGCAAAATAGATGATATTGATATCATTTACTTGGAGAATTGATCAACTCAGCCTACGCATATTTCATGATTTCTTTGAGGTCTTGTTAAAATAACAGATCATATTACTGTTCATTCTTGGCCGGCCATCCTTAATTTATACACATGTATAGTATATTTGTGTGTTTGGAATGATATGAAAGGTTGAGGCATAAAATGAATTCTGCCACTTAAATAAATGGGGTTTACTACCGCAAAATCCCCAGGGATTCTAAAAAAAATCTAGAATTCTAAAACCTAAAAACAAAACCCACCTCAAACCATAACAAGAAATTAAGCAACCAATTAATGAAAACAAAAGATAACATCTGTAACAACTTTGAACAACATAACTCATAACTAGAAATGAAGAAAAAAGAGCCCACTGCTGTAAACACACAGCAAGAAAGCCAAAAGCCCTCTCTTGGATCCAGGCAAACAAAGTCTCCTTGAATATTAAACAAAAAAAATAATTAAATGTTATTTAGCAATACTCCCATCAGCCATAATTGAACGCTTTACAAAAAATGATGCTTTACACACATACCAAACACGACATGCAACACGTACAAACTATCATCCTCCCTAACCAGGGCAGTTTTCGCCATAAAAACTATTTCATACACAGGACCAAACTACTGAAGCACCATTGATCCGAATCTCAAATAGCTTAAGAACTGTTGCAGCTTTAAAAAACATATCAAATTGTTAGTATTAAATTTGTACATGTAATGCACAAGTATACTATTTTTTTCTGGACTGTGACTCCCGACCTTGAATATTCTATTCTAAAAACTTCCTTTTCTCTCTCCTCATTCTTCTCCTGACCCCCATGCTTTACCTTCCCTTCCTAGTTCTCTTCTTTCTTACATCCATCATCCATATCATTTCATTGTTTTATCTGTATACTCTGATTTTGTATCATCATACTTCTACCTTATAATGAATGACACTGTGTCAACATTATTTTGAGGAACTTAAATTCTACAAGCTATGCTTTTGATTAAGTTCCTTTTTTCACATGTAATTTCGAAATTATTTAGTGTGAAATAAATGAAACTAAACTGAAACTGAAGGTCAAGAGTCACTACTGCTCTCTAAGAAAATAGCAGCCCCTAGGTAGAGTACTAGCACACCACACAGTTTGCTAGAAAGTCCTGATTTATATACCATTTTATTTTCTTTTGTTGTAAAATCATGTGATACATATAAATATGAATGCGTTAGTATTTGAGGGATAATTCCCTTTTCAGTCTGACAAAATTAATAATATCCATTTTTCCAAGTTTCTCAAATATTATATATGAATATTTGTCAGTGGTAACAATAGTACATTCCAAAGATACCATTTAACATGATGGAGTTTGATTTGGGGGCAAAATGGATGTAAAAGATTCCAGATATTAGTTTGATGAACATAATTACGTAGAGTTTAACAGTACCTAAGGTTAAAAAAGCTACACAGCATATCTGTTTTTTACATTCCTATCATAGCATCATCATTAGTTGTGTGCTATACATTTAACACAAATCTGACGCAATACAAATTTGTTGGAGAAGCCAACTTTTGAACAATGATGAAGAATGAAGGAGAACTCACTGACATCACAAATCCCCCCCCCCAAAAAAAAAGGGACCAGGGATGAAATTGAATCAGCAAGAAGTAAGGTGAATCATATTAATATTGTAGGTTTATATGATTATACTGGAACCAACCCTTTATTATAGCCCTTTTTATTTGTTTTGTTGCAAAGGTATTACAAAAAAAAAAGGTTTTGGGTCCCCGACCCCCATCACAACTAATTATTCACATTACAACCATCATCTATAGTCTAGTGCTTAAACACTAAATTGACATATTTTATGTATGTGGGAAATCTGAGAATAATATTCAGATCTGTTCATATTAATTCACAACAAACATACATTCGGTTTACTTTTTAAAGGGGGCACTGATCATTGACTCCCCCTCTATTTTTTGCCACAATTATACTAAATCTGCAGAAACTACTGCATTGCTAATTAAACAAAAGTGTACAAATTCTATCTCTACACTATCCCATATTAATGGCTTGTACTAAACACTCAGGTCGCGGCTCGTTTGGCCATTTAAACAAAATGGTGTCTTCAAATCGGTTTTTAAGGGGGAAAATATTATTTCAAATTAGTGACTGTTTTTACACTCAGGTCGCGGCTCGCTGGGCCATTTATTCAATGATGTCTTCAAAGGGGATGCGTGGGGAAATTTTCTTAAAAAAGAAGTTGGAAGTTGTGATTATTATTTTTTTAATGATAGACAAATAAGAAGATTAGAATTAAGGCTGGCATTGGGAAAGACAAAATACTAGGTGATTAAAGTGGATTTTAGAGAAAGTGTAATACTACAAGGGAAATGAACTGTATATTTGATAGAAACAAGGAATAATGGATAGAATGAGAAGATGAATTGTGGGAAATTAAGAACTAACAAGAGAGGATTACATAAACAAAGAATGAAAGAAAACAAATATTTAATAAAAAGGGAATTGAAAGAATTCATTGGCCAGATTTAACAGTGATAAAGATATAAAGAAAAGAGTGGAGGAAATAAAGATTTACATGATAGAAAAAAGATGAGAAATAAAGGGGTAGAATAAAATTTAGAAAGAATATTTTTTAAAGACTGACAAATATGAAAATAAAGCGAGGAATAAAATTTGATAGGATATTACAAGGAATGATGGAAATATTCATTTCATTCTTTCATTCTTTGTTTTTGTATTCCTCTCTTGGTAGTTCTTAATTTCCCACAATTCATCTTCTCACTGTATCCATTCTTCCTTGTTTCTATCATATTAATAGATCATATACCTATGTACTATTACACTTTATCTAAAATCCACTTTACCCACCTAGTATATTTGTCTTTCCCGATGTCAGCCTTAATTATAATCTTCTTATTTGTCTATCATTGAACAAAAAACCATCACAACTTACAACTTCGTTTTTAAAGTAAATTTCCCCACGCATCCCCTTTGAAGACATCATTGAAAAAATGGCCCAGCGAGCCGCGACCCGAGTGTAAAAACAGTCGCTAATTTGAAATAAGATTTCCCCCTTATATTAAAAAGCCGATTTGAAGACACTTAAAAAAAGATGGCCAAACGAGCCGTGACCCGAGTGTTTTTCAGCGCGCCGCGACCCGAGTGTTTAGTACAACCCCATAATAATATCAGAAACAACACAAGTTCTGTCCAAAATGAAAAGGGGCACCCTTTACACATAATAAGGGCACTCTCCCTTGATGATGATATTAATACACTATACTGAACGTGTTCTCATAATAAATGTTGTTTAAGTTTTAATTGTGTCACAAATGTACAAGCATTACACTAGTCAATTCCCCTACTGCCTTCTTATGCTGCCATTATGGTATGTAAATACAAATACTTGACTGTTTGATTACAACTTCCACTGATTTATTTCGTTAAAAAATCTATGGGTTTTTTTCTTGTTCAAATAGGATATTTCCAACTCATGCTGCAAAATTCTCATTGTAATCAGTACATGTTGCCTAAACGATATGCTCCCTGTCATTGATATCTGGGAGTGGCCAAGCATAGGTCCACTAAGACCCTAACACAATTACAAATTGCCGGATGCCTACAAAAATGATAATAAAACCTCAAAATAACAAATCCTTTGCCAGTAGAGTGGGTAAACATTTTATGAATACATGGAGAAACCAAATATAAAAGAATACACATTTTAGACTGTAATAACAAGAACATGCCTTGTAATTTATGAGCATTTTCAGCAGTTTGGTGACTCAAAACAAAAGCATGTGTGTATTCAATATAAAAATGGTGATTTGATATTAAAGGGAATGTTTTTACCAAGGCTGTGTTTTTCTGCTTTTGGTAACCTTCGAGTTTCTTACGTAGTCTTTGATGTTGACCCACGTTCTGTGTTTCAGCACAGCTTCAGCTTTCAAGCATTCGTCTATCGCTCTCTTGCCAGGTAGCTTAGAATGAACAGTCATAAAGGCTCCTAAACGTCTCTGGACAGCCGACTTTTCCGCATCGCTCCATGCTGTCTTTCGTTTCTTCCTTATTGGCTGTTCATCAACCTCTTCCAGTACATGTTGCGTTTTCCTTTGCCTTTTGGTACCTAATGAAAGACAATAACAAAAAAATGTTGCAATTATACTATGCAGAATAATAAATGCAGTATCACATACTGTTTCTCTGAGTCTCTGACCCATGAACTTGAAGAGTGCATTACTGTTATGAGGATGGAAGGAGAGGAAGAATATTTAAATCCTCTTTTGCAGTGATGCAGAATAGAGTGTGATCCTGGGAGGAATACACTTAAACGATTTTTTTTTGCGGGAAGAAAGCCATCATATAATTTTGTAAAGCTCATATTTCGTGAAATTATGGGCATCTACCGTTTAGGGGAGTCGGGCACAAACAAGTCTTTAAATTATCTGACAGTGTCATGACAGATGGGGTTATGTTTCACATATTCTACCCGGTTTCTATTGGTCATTTATTTTGCTAATCTAGATCAGTTTTGGGTTTATTTGGGAGGGGCTCCTGGCTGCCTCCATTTTCATCCATTTCCTAGTATATTGTAGTGATTGCTGTGTGCATGAAAAAAAGTACATTTTGTATTACCTTGACAACCCCTGACTCCCAGTCTAGAACAAAAGGGCCACGATCACATAATACTTTCTGAGTCTATATTATTGTATGTACACAATTTTTTTTTAGTTTAGAGAAGTTTAGATATAGAGACCAATTAAATTCACTAATAGATTTTCTCCGTCATTGGCAACAGCCTTTTTGTGAGGCTACATTACAATTATAATTGTGCTATAATTTTTAACAATTCAAAATGCACAAATATTGGTACGTGGTGATTTCAACAGGAAAAAGTTTGGTTTCACTTTGGCTTTTGAGGATGATTGAGAGTGCGGTACAATAGGCAAAATTAACATTTAGGTTTGCAAAAAGAAATTTTTAGATGCTCTCATTGGACTTAAAGTCATACCTTTTTGGGAGCATCCAGGTAGCTGACGTTCGACATCATGATCACCAGAATCAACATCGCTGTCACAATTGTCATCACATGATTCAGGTCCCTGTTCTCCAGTGTCGATCTCTGTACATAAAATAATAATCAATAATATTCACCAAAAAGAAAATCTGGGTCAACTGCAAAGAAAACATACTTGTAATTTAAAACAAAAGAATATAATCAATTATTTCTAAATACAACATGGTAGAATTGGCACCAGGTATATGCCACATGTGTGGATCGAGTCAAACAAATGCCTTAATTACCCCTAATCTAAATAAATTGAAACAAACAAGTGAACAATATAGTGAGGAATATTTAACTGCATGGTTCATTTGAAAACAACACTTTTCATTAATTCAATAATGTTGCAGCATGTTTATCAATTTACATATTTTGTATTTGATAATTGTCAAGTTGAGTGGAAATCAGAAATACTTGATTCTTAAAATTAGTACATGCTACATGGTTTGTTATTCATCCCACTTATCCCTCGCCATGATGTTTCTCATCTCATTAGGGTTTGGATTGAGATCCCCACTGTATAATTCTACCCTCATCACAAATTTACCTTCATCTAACTTGATTTGAAGCTCATCCAGACTTTTTGCAGTGCCAATCAGCTGGACCGGGTTCCCAGCTTTTCCCTCCATGGCGAACAGGATCTTTGATATTTTGGCCACCTGCATAGCAGCATCTGGCAGTCTATAATACTCCCTATGTATCCTAATATCGTGGCCCATGAAGTTTGCTAAGGCGTCCATCTCATGGTCCCTCAAGCTCATTAGTTGTGACATGGTAGCTACATGCTTCCGTAATTTTGTGGATCGAAGTGTTGAAGGATTTTGTGCTCCACATGCTTCTGACAGCTCACGGAGAGCATCTGACCCTCGAACATGAGATGTAGTGTCACTATTGGCTACAGCGAACAGGTATTTGTTGCTTGGGTTTACACCTGCTTCCTCCCTGTGGGATACAAGGGTGTCTAGTACATGATTTCATGGAGTCTGTCACAAGGATCGGCACTGTCCTGCCACGTTTTCCTACTACCTCAACTCTCCAGAGAAACTTTACAAGATTTTTTTCCCAGTCTTTCAGCATCTCTAGTTGTCCTTCCACCATATGAGATTCACCTTTCTTGATTTTATTGTAGTCATCAAGAGTCATCTTGCTGATTTCCCCTTGTCTCCTCCTATTAAACACAATGAGATGAGCCAGCATGGTCTTGTTGAGTTCTCTCCATGTGCTATGGTTTTCGATTGCGGTCCCAGATGACAGTTTGTCTACACAAAGTTCAGCCTGTACCTCTAGGTGTCTTGACAAAGCCACAACATCACTCGTTAGGGGTAGGAGTTTGGGCTGGTTTCGTTTCCTCTGGTACAAAGTTCGTAGAGCATGAGTAGAGATTTCAGATCCCCAACAAGTGTCCAGCAGCTTGATGAACTTTTCTACAAGTTTCTGCATGTCATCCCCATCTCTGTCCATCAAAGCCTTACTCAGGAGCACAAAGGCAGCCTTTCTTAAGGTATGTCCCAGCTTAAGTGCTAGACTTGGTGTATTGAACAAGTGGTTCTCCTCATCAAAGCCTGCCACTTTCTTGACAGCACTCAAGACAGTCATAAAACCATTTGGTGATATCAGGGAAGTCAGACTTGCCTTGCCATTGCAGCTGCAACGTCTAAACTGAAGTACAAGTCTTCCTAGTTCTCGTAACTTGCATCTGATGTGGTTGTGCTGTTCTTCGTCATGGCCCAATTTCTTAGAGTACACCTTGGCCAATTCTAGAATCAACTGATCATTTAGAATGCAGGCCTTGATTTCATCATCGCTGAGACCACTCAGTACTTTGTGTGTTATAGAATCTCTTGATGTGCAGGGCACTGGTGGAAGCAAGAGTCGACCTTGTGCTAATAGTCTTCTTCGTTTTTTCTTTTGCTCCTTAGCCGGCTCTTCTTGCTTCAAAATGCAGCGGTGTTTCCACAATTCGGCTTTCGCAAACCATCCCAAACAATCTTTGCAAGGCTGATAATCACGGGGCTTTGCTTCACAAGAAGGTCTATATACGACCACAAGCTCTCCATGACCCTTTTCGAAGACCCTGTAGTTGTGCATGTGATTTCCTTTATTTCTTATCAATGTCAATAGCTTATCCTTTTCTTTTCGATTCGTTGCTGCCATGTATTGAGCCACCTTTATTTCATTGGAATGTTGTGACCGCAGGTGATCAGGAAGTTTTTTGTGGGGCTTCTCACACATCATGCAATAAGCTACCTTGTCATATTTTCGCCCTCCTTGATTGTTGGTCTTCATCACAGTTATCCCCTCATGGTCAGCATCAATGCCTCCATATCTTGATGATGCCTCCAATGACTGATCTGATGACAGAGATTTCAGTGATCGAGTGATGCCATTTATTGATGTACATTTAGCCTTAGGCAATGATGCTTGAGAATTATTTAATGAAGTCTTCCCTGAAGAGTCAGAATCTCCTTGAGAATCACAGACATAGTCTGGATCATCATCACTATCATCATTATGGTCAGATAATGTGTCCTCATTATCACTTGAAAAAATATTTTGTGAAAGGGTTCCATCTGGTACCATCAATGCTTGTGTGGCAGGCTCAGGGAATGGTTCCCAGTGCTCTCGGTTATTAGGGGGGTTTCTGCATAGATCATCAGATGTGTCATCATTATCAGCAAGAAAATTGGACAGTGAAAGGTTTCTATCTGGTTCCATTAAAGGTTGTGTGGCAAGCTCAGTAAATGGTTCCCAATGCACTTGGTTATTAGGGGGGTTTATGCATGGATCATCACATGTGTCATCATTATCAGCTGAAACATTAAACTGTGAAATCTTTCCATCTGATTCCATTAAAGCTTGTGTGGCAGGCTCAGGGGATGGTTCCCAATTTGTTTCGTTATTAGGGGGGTTTCTGCATAGATCATCAGATGTTTCAGCATCATCAGTTAGAACATTGGAGAGTGGAAGGTTTCCATCTGGTTCTATTAAAGGTTGTGTGGCAAGCTCAGTAAATGATTCCCAATGCACTTGGTTATTAGGGGGGTTTATGCATGGATCATCACATGTGTCATCATTATCAACTGGAACATCAAACTGGGAGAGCTTTCCATCTGATTCAATTAACGCTTGTGTGGCAGGCTCAGGGGATGGTTCCCAATGTTCTTGGTTATTAGAGGGGTTCCGGCATGGATCATCACATGTGTCATCATTATTAGCTGAAACACTGAACTGTGAAATCTTACCATCTGATTCCATTAAAGCTTGTGTGGCAGGCTTAGGGGATGGTTCCCAATTTGTTTCGTTATTAGGGGGGTTTCTGCATCGATCTTCAGATGTTTCATCATCATCAGCTCGAACATTGGACTGTGAAAAGTTTCCATCTGGTTCCACTAGTTCTTGTGTGGCAGGCTCGGAGAATGGGGAACAAACTTTTTCTGGGTCTGGTGGGAGGTTTGCAGAATTTTGCAGAATTTCAGGTTTTTCATCTTGGACTCCACTGTGTAATTGAGTAGGACTTGGGAATACAAAATTATCTCCCACCCCATAATCATATAACACTTCTTCACCTTCTTTGATTTTCTTCAATGAGAAGAGAACCAGTTCTGGTTCATTGTGAGGGTTCTCTCTAATCTTCATTCTGCTGTTGACTTCACCCCTCCAACCATGGTTGACGAGTCGTCCCAGTTGTTGTTTAGTTGGTTCGACTGATGCATCCCTACTGGAAATGAAATTGAAAAAAAATGAAAACATTAGATTCATCAATGTTTAAAATTACAATGAATCACTGAAACATACAAGTATATGTGGGTTACAATTTGTGATTTCACTTTAGGTTTTCTCTGTTGTCAGATATTATTTGATTAACTGTTACTTTTCAAGTAGGGTATCACTCAAAGAAGAATCGTTACAGTCATGATTTTTGTTAACGCATGGTTAATTTTAGGAGGAAATTTGAAATACAAGTAACATAGGAAACAAATAGGTAACATTACATGTAGGCATTGGAAATCATAACCAATATCATGAACATTAAACATGCATATGATTACTTTTCATAAAACAAGATTTGCCTTAAAATTGTAATGCTACAAAATGTCACCGTGCATCAGACAAGAGTACCGAGGCGAAAAAAGACGACGAACTAACCGTGGAAGATTTTTTCAATATAAATACAAATAACAAAAAAAAACAAAAAAAAACACAAAGGTCGAATAACGACACGCCCTACAAGCCACGGGCAACAGCATTGCGAACAAAATATATCCTCTCAAGACCCTCTGAAATACGAGAGCCAAAGACATTACATGGTATAACAAAAATAACAAAAAAGAGAGAGAAGCGACCAAATTGGGGAAAGGGCAAGGAGAGGCAACAGACTAAAGGGAAAATTTACAATTTCGGACATATCTATCCACAAGATGTTTACACCGGGTGGGAGAGATGGAAGAAGGCTTCGGCAGGGGAGAAGGAACATGCGGAGAAGAAAGATGAGTCCAAGGAGAAGAAGGGAGGGAGAGATGAGGAAAGATTAAAAAATAGCATGGGAAAAAGGAAAAAAAGCATTATGATAAACAAGAACAGACGTGTAGAATGAGGGGGGAAAGAAGAAAATAATCTATCTAATCTTTAAAAGTGGAACGTAGCTCCAAAAAGCAAATAAAGAATACAATATAAAAAGTGGCTACTAGCACAAACCTGAATTCATATCAAACGGACCAAACATGTATGCAGTGTTATATTATTCTAGAATGAGCAAAGAAAGCAGGAAATCCAATGCAGGGTTTGAATTGTGCATTGAAAACTACATCCTCAATGAAGGTTATGTTTACCAACTGTATGATTTTTGTTCTCAAGTTTTCAAATGATTTTTCAATAAATCTTACCATTTGACATATGTTGGCCCATCTCAGATCATCTTCCCAGATTATAAAGAAGAGGAAATTTGGGAAATTACAAAATGAATGATGAACATTTAACAAAGAAGGATAACAGAAATTAAAAGCAGAAGATGTATAAAGACAACAAGCAGGAGTAGCGAAATGAGAAATGCAGCTACAATGCGAGGATGACGCTGGACAACAGACATTGAAAGAAATGAATTAGGAGGATGGGAAGGGAGAGGAGGAGACAAAGCAGATGAAGAAGTTGAATGAGGAGTTGATGAGCGAGGGGTTAGGAGAGGGGTTGAGGGAGGGGTTGGGAGAGGGGTTGGGAGAGGGGTTAGGAGAGGGGTTGAGGGAGGGGTTGTGTGAGGGGTTGATTGGGGGGTGCGGGGAGGTGTTAGGGGAAGTAATGAATGAACAGATGAAGTAATATCAGACTGAAGTGAAGATGAGGTGTAGAAGAAAGGGGGAGTAGAAAAAGAGTCTTCCGATGACATATTGCAGGGAACTGATGAACCAGCATCATTTAAAACTTCACTGGAGGGAGAGGGAGGTGGTGCAAGCTGCGTAGAAATTTCCGAATCTGTTTCATCATTTAAAACTTCACTGGAGGGAGAGGGAGGTGCTGCAAGTTGCATAGAAATTTCCGAATCTGTTTCATCTGTAAGATGAAATGTGGAGTGTACAAAAAAAAACATGGACTTTTCAGTGTAATGCACCTTTCTTTTATATCCAATATTTGTACCAAATATTGTTTTATATTCTCATTTTATGCTCTCCAAAATGGAATATGATCTGTTGGACTGACAAGGTTGAATAATTGTCATTGGTAAGATTGTGTGTTTTGTGTATGATAGCTAAAACAGGTTTGAATAGATAGAGAAGAATATAAGTTGCATATTTGTTCTATGCTGTCCTTGCCGTATTGATACTTTCTGCAGAAAAATGTATGTGTACTGTATGTGGTCAGTCCACGGGTTTATTCAAAAGCACGGAATAGAATTTGACAGATATGACTAGCTTTCGATCTTTCTCTAGGGAAAAAACAAAAACCACTGGTAGAAAATATGTTGCCCTGTCAACCCACATGTTTACGACTACGTCATAAGCATATACCCTTAGGTTTGTTTTCAACACCTATCATTACAAAATATACTTTTCAATAAATCAAGTCGTCATAGTATGTAGACTTACCACCATTTCGTCCCTTTCCATGTGAAAAAGTATCTGAAGCAAGTTTCACAGTCTGCATCTCTTTGTTCCCCCACATCTCTGGTTACCAGATCTCCTCTGTACCACAAAAGGAATTCTCCCTCTTCAAACGTTTTGGTGGTAAAGACTGCTCTACCTGTGATTGAAGAAATACATAATCTTCATGAGATCAATCATGCGAGTTTGAACATTGTGAATATGATGTTACAAGTATATTTGTCTGTCATTTAAGATAATGCTCATGCAGGTGTGATAAGTAAATATCGGACTCGTACTTGTAAGAAGGCACTTATTTTCAAAATTGGTTGAGTTTTAAATAACATTTGTGTGTCTTTTTGGTCACATTGCCATCAAGCAGACTTGTAAGCAACACATTGTATTTAATATTAGTATGCTGCAGATATTAAATTACAATGTCATGCATGTCATGATGAACATGACGTTTTCTCTAGATTTTCTAAAAACATTTTGACATTCAACCCCATGAGGAGGCATTAAAATTCATTTCAAGGTCTAACCTTTAAACACTTAACCAAATCAAGTTTAATACCTCCTGCTTTACAAAAGAGCCCTGTACATACAAATATTTACAAAAAAATAGAATACATTGTAGAAAACATTTTTAAAAAAGCTTTAAAAAAATAAAAACTAGATCAAAATGAACAGAAGGCCTTAAATATTAAACATTTAAGATATTATTGATACAAAGAAAAATGACCAAAAAAATATTTTAAAAAATACACATGCCGTAAAAATAGACTACACAACTGCAAACAGACAAACAAACAAAACTAACTTATGGTAAAAGTCATGATATAACATTAGGTACCAGTGCATGCATTAAAGTGATAGAGGGAGTGACTTAATTTGGTTTTTTAACATTTGGAGTGAAGTTGCCGTGCGAATATGAGTCGGTAGATTGTTATAGATGCTTGGAGCAGTGAAAGAAAAAGAACGTTTTTTAAATTCAGTCTTTGGTTTCAGGATAAATAAGGGATTTAAGGTAGAATGACAAGTAACAAAGTAAACTGGACGATTATGACCAAAAGATTCTAAATAAGGGGCTAGATTATTGAGTATTTTGTAGACGAAAATGCAGTAGTGGTAATTGATTCTATTTTCAACACTTTGCCATTGAAGACTGCTTCACGCAATTAAGTGTTGAATTAAGATTATAAAAACAGAAAAATATGAGGGAAAGCATATCAAATATTCTACTGCATGAAATTAATGAAATATACAGAAAGGGTATAGATTTTACTAAAGAAGTTGACCTGTTTAACTGCGAAGGGTATCAAAGTTACTCTGAAAAGAGCTGGTGATTTTCAGACAATAGGCGATGAGGTGTGATCAAAGAACCATACCAGGCGTTCCTTGCATAGTCTAGCTCTGAATCAATATTTTATTGAGCATATTAATGTTAGATATCTATGCTACAGTGAATTTTCACTATTAATACAATCTACATGTACATGTATGTAACCTCACTCACCTTTGTCAGGCAGCTGTTTCACTGTAAATCCTTCAGGATCAACTTCACTAAAAATATCTGGAACTGTCTGTCTGGTTTGACTTCTGAGAATCCGAATTCTGAAACAGGTCAAGTAAATATTAGTAATA